GGTCTCCTCTTTGCACGTATTTAGCAATTAATAAAAGCCTTGACATTTCCTCATTCATTCATCCATCCATGATGATCACATATTCAGACATGAGAAGAGGACATGGAGCAGTATGTATTGTAATACATTGTTGGTAAATGAATCAATGAAAAATGAAATTTCACCTTCAGTATTGACTTGTCCTCATTTCCTGTGCTTGAGGAGGTCAGGGCTCTAGACTCAGTTCACATCCTTCTCTAATTGGCCTTATCTATAACGCCAGAGGATTTTGATCTCTAGGACTCCTTCCAGTTCTGAAGTTCTGTGGTCCTGTGATTGCACACTCATGTTTTAAGACTGCAGTGTCTATAGGCTTCTGGATGTGTGAATTATCACAAGCCAAAGGCAACAGAAGAGTTCCTCATTCTCACACACAGGGACTCACCTTTTAACCCTTCCATGAAGGGAATGAGATGGAGGTGGCCTCTGACACCAAGAATTTCTTGTTTTTCTTAAAACTGATATTAAAATGCCTGAAGAGTGTCCTTCACACACTTCAGTCATCTAGAGAGACGCTAAGTCTTACCTCAAGTGGCCACCTTCCAAGTCAATGCCTTTGGTGAAACTATATATTGGTGGAGATGGAGATGGTGCGAGAAGATGTGAATGAACGTGGCAGCTGGTGCCAATGAATCATCTCTAGGAACATACACCTTCATAACTAAGAATAGGAAAGGTCTTCCTCAGCAACCATAGAGAAGTGCCTATGCATGGAGGGACACACACATAAGGAACAGTGTATCCAGAGGACATGTATACTGTGACGTCTTCTGGTGAGGGAATTGTGCTGCTCTCTGCTAGGCTGTTCACCACTGGGTGAGGGCTCTCTCCTGAGTCTGTCATATGCTGTTATGTCTCTAATGCTCCCTGATTATCCTCCAGGGATCAACTTGGCTGCTCCTTCGTTTTCCCCTTTGCCGGCCTGTTCCTGTAGCTGTCACCTACAGCTAGAGTCCTTAGCTAAGGTACCACCTTTTCCCTGTAATAGGAATGGGCTCTGATGCCTCTTTTAGATGAGAAACTTTAGCTCTTTTAGTCAGAAAGGCCAGTCCTTTCTGAGGCCCAGAGACACTTGGTGACCTGCCCAAGGTCATGGAGGTGAGAAGTGTTGAGGGGCATTTGAACCCCAAATTCAGCACTTTCAATTGCATTCACTGCCTCTAGAATTTGAGTGTCATCCCAGCTCTTTCAAAACATGGGATATGCTCATCCTTTGCTCTCCAGACCCTCGCTTTAGGATTTCATTAGAGAGGGTAAGAGTAGCTTGTGCCTGTTTTTCACTTCACAGATGACTTGTATGGATCAGTGCCTCTGGACAGCAAGTCTAAGGGGCATAGCACAGGGGAGAGCCCCCACTGCTGCCAGGGTTATTCCATAGCCTCGGCTGTGTCATCAGGGGGCTCTTTTCCACCATCACCCATGTTTTCCTCACTTACATGCACCTTCCCTCTGACCCAGAGTGCAACCAGCCATTCTGGCACCAGGGACAAGCAACGCCACTCACAGGGGGAGCAAGGCAAGCTAGTGGGGTTCCTCTTCAGAATGGAAGCTCCCTAAGGCAGGCGCTGCTCTGTTTAGTCTTTGCATCCCCAGCCCCTATTCTACTGGCCTTCTGGACCAGTAGAATGTAAGCTTCTGGAGGACAAGGTCTGGCAAGGACATGTTTTTCTTTGCATCTCGCACAGTCCAGTGTTGGGCATGTGAATGCTTACTTGAATGACGGACTGCCCTCAAATCAATTTTGCAGTTTACAAAGTGAAACTAAAGCAAGAAGCAATTGAGAGGCATTCACTTGGACTGGGAGGGAGATGCGCTTCCATAGTGTCCTGTCTGCTGCTGAAGGGGCACACTTACATTTTCACACCCTCTTCATTTCCTGGACACAACACCCCAGCCTAGTTCAGCCTTTGCCTCCCTCTTGGCAGCACACTGACTCACTCTGCTTACCTCCCGCTCTTGCCTCAATGCCCTCACACTGGCTTCTTCTTCTTTTGTTAAAAGCAACTGAAATCAAACAATTATTTAGACGTTTTTGTGACACTGGAATATTTGGGTGAAAATAGGTATTGTGGGGGGTGGTTTTGGGGGTCCTGGAATGCTTAATTTTTCTCATTAAGATGAATGGAAATGGGGTTTTCATTAGATGGACTTTTGTCATGCGGACTAGGTTTTATCTCCCTTGGGAGGGAAGGGAGGAATAAGCATGCATTTCATTGAGGACAGGGGCATGGCCAGGGATGGGCTGGGGTGCAAGGTAGCAGCCCTCGCTGGTCAAGGACACTTGGGTGGCATTGCTCCAGATTCACCAGGAATCAGGGTTCTATTGTAGGAAAGAAACAAACATTGATTAAATAGTACCTCCAACGTGCCCGATGCTGTACTTATATCTTTGGATCCTCACAAGCTTGGGAGGCAGATGCTATCATGATTCCCATTTCACAGGTGAGGAAACCAAGGGAGCCAGAGGTGAAGTGACTCACCCAGGACCACACAGATAGGAAATGTCTGAGGCTGGATTTGAACTCAGGTCTTCCTGATTCCAAACCCAGCGCTCTGTCCACTGCAGTGTCTTTCCCTATGCCTGAAACTCCTGGTCTGTACAATGTATCAAGTTAGAGGATATGGGTGAAGGGATCTAAACAGAGTCTATTTGCTAAGTACTTGAAGTAACAGAGAAGTAGTGTGGCCCAGTGGGTAGAGACTGCCCGCCCTGGAGCCTGAAGACCTGGATTTGAATCTCAACCCTGACGCTTCCCGAGATGAGGCTTCCTTCCTTCTTTCTTCCTAACCCCTCTTGAATTATTTAGATCATGAGGGAAGAATTTTAATTACGGCAGAGCATTCCTTCCTTTGGACTCTACCGGCGTGGCTATGGGGGAATCATTCGATGTTGCTTCGCTAGTTTCCCCATCTGTGAAATTGGAGGGTGGGGGTCTCTGGACACGAAGGTGCCCTCCAGAGCTCTGTTTATCCGGGGGGCTCTCAGCCTCCTAGGAAGCTTCTGAAAATGATTAACTGATGAATAAGTGGGCTGTCAGGGGAAACCCCCTCAATGGAAATTCTGTCTCTCAGGAAAACCACAGGCCAGGACCATTGAGAAAAAGAGGATAAGAGGAGAGAGGAGTGAATTTAAAACTTAACTGGCTGGTATCAAAGTACTGAGAACGGTTGGCAGTCGTGATAGTTAATAGAAATAACCAATGTTCTAACGAGTCTAGCCTAGTCTTTCTTGGAAGGTGGAAGGTGGGGAGAGGGGAATGCTAAATTGTCTCTCAGTCCTTCTGTTTCCACAGGGACCAGCACATCCACACGTTTAAAATGCTCCTGCTGTGAGGCTCAAGTTCACCCTAAGGATGAGACACTATTAAACTTCATTGCTTCCCCAAATAGGTCACTGTGGATCTCCCACGTGGCAGGCGACTGAGTCTAAGGAAACACCAGAACCAAAAATTACATTGCATTTTATTGCATGCTGGTAATAAAATGCACTTAGTACTGTAAATATCTTGTTAATGGCTCTCTAAACAGATTATGTCAGGGGCTTCCATTAAGCCCTTTAAATCTCCTTCCTGCACATGAAGGAAGGCTTCTGCGTGCCTTCTCCATGCATCACCAATGCAAGAGACTTTTCAGGGGGAATGGAAATGTTCCCATTCACTTCTATGAAGATATTTTAAAAAAGGAGTCCATTTGTGAGATCTGGTGATTGGAGAGGGCAGAACAGCCACCATCTTCCATGATGGAACGTCCCAAGCCCTGCCAGCTCCCTGAAAACTGGACTTGGACAGCATGGGGTACAATGCACCCAAATGGGGACTTTGGACCTTTGCTGGCTGGGCCCCAGAGAACGCAGGGTGGCTCTGGTACCATAAGGGTACGTGGTAGAGGGGCCTTAGTAGAGATCTATGCACAGGTGGAAGGGACTTTAATGTGGGTTTTATGGTCAATGTTCCAAAAGCGGCTAATGTTCACATCAGCTGAATAGGATGGTGAGATTTTAGTTTTCAACATTAACCAAAACATAAACCTTCCACTGTCTCCCTTCAGGCTGTGAATATTTTACTGTCAATCTAAAAATTGAAACCAGCCCCTTGGGCTAATACTGGACATTGTCCTGGTGGTATCTAGCCCCATTCCAAACTACTTTGGAGGATGTATGACTTGATCATGAAGGATGGTCCCTCCATAACCTTTGGTGACTTAGGAAATGGTCTCTTAGACTTTTGTAACCCAGGCAAACCCAACATGAGCCTCTCTGAAGGAAGGTCTCCTTTGACAAAAGACACTCATGCCACATTTAGGTCCATCTTGAGGTTGGTGAGAAAGCTGCCCAGGCTTTCTGGGACCAGGATCACATCTGTATTAGGATGAGGCACCAGAAGTCTTTGGCATCGCGCGCGTGTGTGTGTGTGTGTGTGTGTGTGTGTGTGTGTGTGTGTGTGTGTGTGTGTGTGTGTGTGTGTGTAGAGGAGAAAATCTGAACCTGTGATTTCATGGGGAACTCCTGGTATAGAAACTTCCTTCACCTGTGCAAACCAGCAACTTAGTGCTTCTGAGAGTGGTCTGGGGCACACTGCGTCCACTGGTGACATTAGCTGGTATGTGTCAGAGGCAGGAGTTCAGCCTAGGCCTTCTGGACTGCACAGTTGGCCTTCTGTCCATCCTGCCTCTTTGCTCTTAGCCAGGGTCCCCCTGGGGGTGCAGGCAGTCCTATCAGCAGCTGCTGATGACGTCCCTCTGCATGTTGGAAAGCATAAGTGGACTTCCTTGGGTCCTCGAGGTCTCCCCATCCCCTGGGATTAGCGGGAGACAGGGTCCGAGCAGGGTTTCCCACCTCCCAAGGCTGCTTATAAAGCACCCAGAATCAAACCTGTTTTGGCAGACTCGGGTGCAGACGCTCGCAATCAGTTCAACAGATTGAGAACAAGAGCGCGGACAGAAGACGAAGCTGATGCTGGAACGAGCTTTTTTTTTTCTTTTTATTTACACCACAAGAATAACAAGCTGTCATAATGTGGCACAAAATACTGGACTCCTAAGAAAGTTCCATAGAAGTCGGTACTGCCAGAGAAAGCCACCATTGGCTGGTGGGGGGAATGAACCAGAAGGAAACCAGGATGAGAGTGAAGAAACAACAGAATGGGAAAAAACAGGGAGGAAAAAAAGGAAAGAAAAGAAAGAAAAAGAAAGACAGACAGACAGCCAGACCTCCGGGTCCATGGCAGAGGTCGGCACAGACAACGCTGCTGCCCTTCCTGGGAGTAGATTTCGTACAATTGGGAGGGAGGCTGTGTCTGGAGGGCGGAAGAAAGCGGTAGCTGCTACCAATGGTGACGTCATTCTGAGCACGGATAGGGAGAAAGGAGAATATAATATAGTTACAGCTTTGGATACTATATATCTGTAATAAGCTCTCGGGCGAATAATGCTTCGACCCCCCTTTTATATATATATTATATATATATATACATATATATGTATATGTATATATATATAAGTTTGTCATCTCCATAAATGGAAAATATCGCCTCCACTATGGAGCACACACACAAAACTGTTAGATTTCTTTTTCTTTTGATAGGAAACTTTTTAAATCAACATCAAAGACAAAGGGTCACCCGCCTCCAAAGACATGGCTTCAGAACAAGGAAGAAACTTTGGGTTTCCTTTCAATGCACTCGATAGAATATTTGTTTAAACCACAGTGTTGCTCACACAGTCCAAGACTTTATCAGAACGTGAGATCGATGGATACTATCATCTGAAAGTCACTTTAAAAAAAGGAGTGGAGGCTGAGAAGTTAACTCTTTTGGCTCCACATCAGGTTTTTCATCTAAACAAAGCACAGTCTTCGAGAAAGGGTTGCATTCACTCACCCCCAGAAAGGAAATGAACCTAAACAAACAAAAACCGTGTCTCTCCCTCCCCCCTACCCCAGGAACAAAAAAATCTTTGAAGAGACCCAGGCAGTTTCCACTTTGCACTTGGCTGCGGTGAAGTTTCTCCAAAACACTGTTTCCACATAAATACAATAAACTCTATGATTGGTAGGTCACAAGTGCTCAATAAACTTTTTCCTTAAAATGACAAAGGTCTGAGCAGTCCTTTTATTTCTCTTACGATAAAAAGCACAAATTCTTCAGAGTAAGTTCAGTAAGACGCAAACTTCCCCCCTCCCCACTCTCCTTCCATATTTTGCTTTACAGAAAATGTCCCACCTTTTAAAAAATCTGCAAATGCCATGAGAGGGGGGAAAAACAGGTTTTTTTGTTTTTTTGTTTTTCCCCCCAAAGCTGCCAAGTTTGGCGTGCAAAATCTGTATACAATAGAAAGACATGCCAACCTTACAGACCATGCAACCTCAAGGTGTAGGAAACTTAAAAAAATATATTCATATATATTTATATATATTTATATATATATCAATGCCCATAAAACACTTGGGCCCCAAAGTTTACAAAAAGCAGAATGGAATGAATACATGACTGTGACGAATACAAAGGAATGTTCTATATCGAAAATAAAAACAAAACTGAAAAACAACCCCCCCAACCCAGCACCTCCCCAGCAGGGGCTGTGGGGTCCTGCAAACCTTCCCCTTGCAGATTCTGGGTCTAAGACCACTGAAAAAAAGAAACCACCAGCCTCCTTCTCCAAACAGATAGAGAGATAAAAGTTAAGAAATGGGAGAAACAGAATGGCTTTGACAAGAGGCCCTTTCAAACCAGGGCCCACTGAACACCAATGTGGGGGGAGCAGCCACTGATAGGCCCCAAATGGGTAGAAATGGGGTCTCTGGCCCGCCCGCCAGGTTCTGCAGGTTGGGGGAGCAGCCTTAGGGCTTCGGCTGGTGGAGCTCAGGCACATCCTGGAGGGTCAGAGATGCTTGGGCTTTGGGGTGGGAGGATGAAAAGGGACAGATGGGGATAGTGGCCACACGCCACCCGAGCTGCTCCAGGAGTGCCAACAATGACCCCCACCCTCTCCCCGGGGGCCAGTAAAGTGCTCACTCACCGACCCTGTGGATCAACATTTGAAAAATGCCCCAGTAGCCTCGGCAAAGGTGCAAGTGAGAAATGGGGTGAAGAAAGTATCCCCCCTGGGGTCAGCATGAGAACGGAGAGCTAAAGGAAGCTCCATCCATGGGCCAGCAGTGGGAGAAGGGGAGCCCCACCACCCCGCTGCGGAAAGGCCAAGTGCGGGGCCTCCCCAGCCAAACAAAAAAAAACCAAAGTGAAACAGTCAATGCTTTATGCAGAATGCCTGGGGCCAAAGAAGGCTGATTAAACCAAAGGAGATTTCACTTGATGAGTCTTTGCAACATGCAGTAAATAGGGTAAAGTCCAAACATGATAACTGGGCCACAGAAAGGTCCCGGTTACCCCAGCACCTTGTAAAAATGACAAACAACTCTTCTTTCTGTCCAATAACTGCTTGCAGTGAAGAGGGAACCCCCCAAACACTCCCCCTGCTGCTGACACTGAATGCTGTGCTCCAGAAGACAGCTTGGAAAAGTCTGAGAGAAGGGATAAACGGGGGTGCCCGTGCCCATGTCTATGCTGCCAGGGCAGCGGAGAAAAAATGATCCCTTCCTTCCCTCGGCCCCCCTCCCCAACCTAAAAACCTAAAACCTCAACAGAAAACCAACCCTGTCTGAACAACCCCAAGAGGCCAGATGAGATGGCAGACCTACAGAGATTAAGGGGGTCTTGCATCCAAACCTTGCCCTTCTCAGTCTCCTGTGTGCCAATCTAAGGCTTGAGGATAAATGAAGAAATAAATCCTCCCATGCCGTTAGTGTTGATCGGAAAAGCTGAAGCGCAAACTAGACCAGGCTCAGAAAATTCCTTGGCTGCCCCTTCTCCGTAGAGGGGACTATCCCCCCCCCCCAGTTTCAAATTCTTTCCACAAGTCTGAATTCAATCAATTTTGGAATGAAAATCGTGACTTCAAGTGTCACCAAAAAAAGGAACAAGAAAACACGGGTTGTCCAGAAAAGCGAACTGTACTATTCTACAGACTCGGGGGGGGGGGGGAAGAAAAGTACGTGTCAATCGGTCTCCTGTAGTCCCATACTCCAGTAATTAGCATCTGGCGCTTCAGAGTGAGGGTCAAAACCAGATGGCAGAAAAAAAAAAAAAAGGAAAAAATCAACACTCCTTGCCCCCCTGTTTACCATTCTCAAAAGCATTTTTTCCCCAACAGTCTTTGGAGAACAAAAGTTAAAATTCTATCTTCACGATGGTGTTTCAAGGAAGAAGTTTAGAAATGATATTTGTCAAGGTTGACAAGTCTTCCCCAGTGGAGCTGCATGCCAACAGCACAGAGGGAGGCCCCCCATGCGATGCTAAGATGTGGAAGGTCCTTCACTCCCTTTGGAGAACAGGACTTATGAAACAGACCTTGGCGGGTACTGCTCCACGGGCAAGACCCGCCGATCTTGCTTTTCATTAAATGCTCCATTTCTGAAAACAAACTCTAATTGTAATGTCTCCTCAGCCTGGTGGAAAGATGCTGACTCTACAGAAATCAAAGCAACCCCCCCCTCAATAATAATAAAAAACCGAGACCTTAAAAAGTTAAAAAAAAAAAGTACAAGCAAGGACCGAGGCAAGAAAGGCCTTCTGACATCATTATAGTCAGTCAGAAAACTGCCCAATGGAAAACAAATGTAAAAACCACACAAACAAGGTTTCTTCAGGATTGGAAAATATTGATACAAAATCAACAACAAATATCTCTAGTTCTGGCTACCAACCCCCCCCCCAAAAAAAAAGAACCCCAAACTCATCGTGTGTACGTGCGAAAAAGGAGGACAGAGGGCCTGTCAGAAAAGAAACCCAAGGTAACAAACAGAAACTGAAATTAAAAGGCAAACACTGAGGGTAGTTGCCCAGTGGCTAATGTTCTGGCGATCTGAAGCCTTTCCAATTTGCTCTTTCCCTCAGCACCGGTCCGGTCCAATTCACAAGGAAACCATTTGCTAGGGACCTTTAAAAGGTGACTTTTACAATCTGCATTTATTATATTTACCTTTTTATTTCTTCTATAAATGCATTATAAATATTTTATCAAGATTTCATAAGAATCAAGTTTCTAAGCTTGGAGTACATTTGGAATATACATTATACATACATATATATATATATATATATCTATTTATACCTACAATTGAAGCAATACCTCATGCTAGTCTGCTCTCAGGGAAAAGCACCCCAATCTTAAAACTGCAAGTGTGTCTACTACATGCGTCAACAACCAAATGGCTGTGTTCGATTGTTGTATGATCAATGCCGGAAAGAAAACGCCTTGGATTGTTTTAAATTTGTCAGACTTCAAAACACCCAACAGTGTTTGCCACTTTGGGGGCAACTCCCTTCATTTGTCTTAAACAGCAATGAAATGAAATAGAACCACAAAAAAACAAACAGAAAACCAACCGAACTGAACGGAACGCCCTGCCCGCCTGCCCCCCACCTCAGGAGAGAGTTCCCAAGGCGCTGCAGGCAGGAAGGCCGGCCGCCTTCAGTCCGAATGCAAGCACAGGCCGGAGGCTCCCGCTAGCTCTGGGCTTGCTGGCAGATCTGGGCTCCGTCAGCCAGAGGAAGTTGCTCCAGAGTCCTGCTTTTTCTTTTCTTTTAAACTTAAGGCATTGTCCTTCAGACTTCTGAAAAATCAGCCACACCAAGTCCATCAGATCCATTGAAAAAAAGGCACAAACTCTCATCTTGGGGCAGCTTTGAAAAGCTAAAGCCGACTCCCGCCGGGTGGGCGCTCACAATTTTTTCTGGTTTTGTTCTATTAAAAAAGAGAGAGATCAGTCTCCTTGCCCCCCACCCCCCATTAAAAGCCCGCCCTCAGGCATCATCGGGGTTTGCAGACGATGTCTCTGACTCCCAGGCAGGCTGGAGTCACAAACCCGTTCCCCCTTTTCTTTTTTCTCCTTTTCTTTTTCTAAAAAAACAAATACGCTACACGATGAGTAGAGTGGTTTCAACGGAGACTGTGGAATTGTGGGTAATCAAACCGTAAGCACCAGTTTTAATGAAGTTTGTTTTCTATATTGTTAGAGCTTTGAAACTGGGTCTCCTGGGCGGCCGCTGTTGTCCGTCTTCACGCCGCATGGCCCGTCTCCCCAAGGCCACCACTGGCTGCTTCCTCCTTGCGGGGGCCCGCTTTGGAGTGGAGAAAGAGCGCCTGGCTCCACACGTGTCTGCCGTGGTCGCGCTCACCGGCGGGTCCGTGGTCGATACGGATAGGCCGTGGATGTGTGCGGGTGGGGGTGTGGGCGCGGGCACGTGTGTCGATATATCTATGGACGTAGATATAGATCTCTATGTATACCGATATATCTGTAGATGCAGAAAGACTCGTTTTCCGTATCGAGAAAGACCAGTCCTGTTGTGGCGTCACACCTGGCTGTCCTTGTGTATTCTGGGAGAACACCCTGACAGGACGCAGGCGAGACAAGAGGAATTCTCCTGGCAGAGCTTCAAGACGAAAGACGCACAAACGAAAGACCAGCAGAGTCGGGCTGGGTGTTACAGGGGGGGCTCCTCTTCCATGGGCTCGTCATCTGACCTGTGATTTTCCCCCAAAGCCACGGGGTGGGGAAAGGGACACGGGAAGAAGCGGTGGAGTAGGGAGGGAGGGAGAGGGGAGAGAAGGGAGAGGGAGAGAAGAGAGAGTGAGACAGACAGACAAGGCACACAGAGACAGAGAGAGACAGAGAGGAGAGAAGAAAGACAGAAACACAGAGAGGAGAGAAGAAAGAGACAGAGACAGAGAGACAGAGACAGAGAGGAAAGAAAAGAGACAGACAGAGACAGACACACAGATACAGAAAGACAGAAAGGAGAGAAGAGACAGAGACAGAGAGAGAGACAGGGAGAGACAGAGGAGAGAAAAGACAGAGAGACAGAGACAGAGAGAGACAGACATCAACAGAGAGACAGACACATAGATACAGAGAGAGACAGAGACAGGAGAGAAGAAACAGAGAAAGAGAAGAGGGGGGAGGGAGAGGGAGAGGGAGAGAGGGAAAGAGGGAGAGAGGGAGAGAGAGAGAAAGAGAGAGAGAGAGAAAGAGAGAGAGAGAGAGAGAGAGAGAGAGAGAGAGAGAGAGAGAGAGAGAGAGTGAGAGAGAGAGAGAGAGAGAGAGAGAGAAAGTCAGCTCAGGTTCAGGGTCACAGATCTTCTCTAGGCACTTTATGCACTGGGTTTTCTCCTGCTGCCACCCAGCTTGCTAGCCCTCTCCCTCCCCCTCTGCCTCTCCCCACCGTGCTTCCCCCACCCCAAGAAATCATTTTTTTCCTTAAGTCAATCTGTTCCGGATTAAACTTCCTTCCACATATTTCTAAGAGTCAGTCACAACTGGAAGCACTTAGTGATGCGTGCCTCTGTTTTCTAAAGTCAGATACTGGCATCTGTGCTGCCTCCCCACCCTGTGGCAGCCTTAAGGTGCTGGGCATTATATGCCTCGAAGGGCCCCAGAGCCCGGGGAATGGATCAAAGTGCCCCCTGCCCGTGCGGCCGCTGGGATGAGGGGCACGCACGGTCCACTCTTGACATGATGAGCCCTTGGGCCCTCCGACAACAGTAAGGTAGGTGAAAAATCAATGGGCAAAGAGGACTCGTTAAGTAAGAGATCCAGCTGGTGCCCAGGGAAGCCCGGGGCACAGCCATGAGGCAGGCAGGGAGAAGGGAAACCCACCTCTTCTCGATGTGCTTGACCCCCACAGACAGCGAGGCCAGGGCGGTGACGGTCTCTGCCTCTTCATTCTCACATTTCTGAGCCTCGAGGAGGGAATAGCCCACCGTGGAGGAAAAGCGCTGCAGAGAGCGCCAGTACTTGCCTGGAGAACGAAGAAGAAGTGGTGGTTAGGGGTCCTTGAACCCGGCCCCAGCTTCCCTCTCCCAGATCCAGGCTGAGGCTTCCCAAGGCCGCCCAAGCATTTGCAAGTTTAAAAGCAGCGTGCTTTTGAACATAAATGGGAACCACAGACCCAGAAATCTTATTAAAAAAGCCCCCGACATAAAATTCACCACTCTCCCCCTCGCTGGGGCTGGGGGTTCCCCCGACTGGCTTTGTCACTAGCTGTGGGACCCAGCTCAGGGAGGGCATGCCAGGGGTGGCAGAGACTGTGCAAGGGCGTGCAAGAAGGTGATGGGTTGTCAGACAGAAGAGCAAATGGCTCATCAGCCTGGAAAGAGACAGGGGAAAGGAGCTTCTGTGGCTCTCCACTGCCCCACGAGGGAGCACCAATTCCTCAGCCTGGAATTCGAGGCCCAAGCACACATGGGCTGGAAGGGCGGCAGGGCTGCGAGGTGAGCAGATTAGTGGCATTTCCTGCTGCTGTTACCGTGTTAGGCTCCTTGGTGGGGGCGGGAGGGTGGAGTATAACCCTCTACCCCCTGGCCCATCATTTGTCTCTGAGGGGTTTGAGGGTCAGGGGGCCAGGGGGGATGGCAGAAGATGCCTAGTCCTCCATCTCCTCCTGCCACCAAGAATCCTCATCTGCTTTCATGTCCCCTCCTACCAGAAGCCTTCCTGGATCCCCCCATCAGCTGTGTTCACCGGCAGCTTGCCCAGGTAACAGGTGCTCCCTGAGGGCAGGGATTGTCATTTCTGCTGCTCTAGTCCCAGAGCCTAGTATAGTTTGGGCCCTGGTACAGCGCGGGCCGGGGCCTAGCCCGGTGCAGAGCTTAAAGCAGTGGAGATCCCAGTGCAGTGGAGAACCCAGTACAGCAGAGAACCCAGCGCAGTGGAGATCCCAGCGCAGTGGAGATCCCAGCGCAGTGGAGAACCCAGCACAGTGGAGATCCCAGCGCAGTGGAGAACCCAGTACAGCAGAGAACCCAGCGCAGTGACTGGGTGCACCAGGCAGTCAATGGACGCCGGCTGAAATGGATGCGTTCAACAGTACGCCCTGGGCCAGCGGTCTGTGCCTCAACCCTATCTAACCCTCCTGGCCCCCACGGCCCCTTCAGGATCCAGCTGAGATGCCACCTTCTCCCAGAAGCCTTTCCCGATCCCCCCAAACGCTGGCACTGTCCCTGTCGACTGTCTCCAGCTCATCTGTGCGCTGCTGTCTCCCCCACTGGACTGGGAGCTCGGCAAGGGCAGGCACTGTCTTTGCCTCTCTTGGTATTCCCAGGGCTTGCTTAGCACAGTGCCTGCGCTTGCCTCTCTGCCAGACTCCTGACCCCTATTACTCTGAATCCCCTCAAGGTGGGCAGCAGAGCTCTTGGGGCAGCCAGTGGAGGGCACGCTGGAGAGGACACAGGGGCACACGTGAAGGGGGGGCCTGTCACGAGGGTCCCAGGGGAAGTGGCCTGTGCGCATGGCGCCAACATCAGAGAGTGGGATGAGCAGAGCGAGCACGAGATACTCACTGTGGGTTTCGATGACTTTTTCCATAGAGTGGATTGCATTGGCATTGGACCTTTGTTGCAGGACCTTGTCCGGGAGGGGATCGAGCTGGGAAGAGGGAGAAATAGGCAAATTAAAGGAGCTTTGCGCAGGTGTCCAGGGTGGGTGGCCTGGCTGGAGAGGAGGGGAGCGGGAGGGCTCACCTCTGGCAGCGGCAGCAGTTTTGAAATGTTTACTCTGAGGAGTCCCAGACATGACTAAAACCTGCTTCAGACATCTAGACGCTGTGAGACCCTGGGGCAGTCAATTCCCTCCTTGGGGCCTCAGTTTCCCCATCCATAAGTCCTTCCAGCTCTAAGTCTGTGACCCTGAGCTCCGCTTTCCCTGAAAGCACTTGCAGCCAGCTGGACACGAGGAGGACACTGCGGGCAGCGGCGGCTGCTGACATCAGGGCAGACGGCCTGGACAGTTACACCATTACTTTGTGTCCCCTCTGAGCCTCAGAGCACACGAGTGCTAGAGATGATATCCCCATTTCACAGATGAGGACACTGAGGCTCAGAAGGGCTGAGGTGGGCTTCCCAGAGTCATACAGTTAATGCCAGAAGGTGGACACAGACTCAGGTGGAGAGAGATGGGAAGGGCCTTAGCAGCCACCAAGTCTGAATCCAGCAGCCAGACCTGAGTTCAAAATCCAGCCACAGACACCCTGGGCAAGTATAATCCATCCCCCCCAAAGGAAGCAAAACAGACCTCCTCTTTCTGCCTCAGTTTCCTCATCTGTAAAACGGGGATAATAACAGCATCTACCTGCCAGGGTCCTGGTGAGGATTACACGAGGTATTTGCAAAGTGTCTTGCAGGCCTTAAAGCCTCACATAAATGCTAACTACCCCAGAAACCCTTTGTATTAGCATGACTTGTTTCCGCACCCCTGGGCTGCCGGCTCTGGACACATCCTTGCTCCCCTCTCTCCTCCCTCGCTCTTTTTCTGAGTGGAGCAGGAGCTGTTACCTGGGCTGCTGTCCCGCAGCCCAGGCCAGAGAGGGGCAGATGGAGGTTTTTAAATGCACAAAGGGATGACCTCCCAGTGGGGTGGGAGCTGCCTCTGTGTGGAAGGGCTGCCGCGGGCCTCACGGGCTGCCAGCAGAGAGACGGGGCACATGGACGGAGGACTCTCACACACTTGCTCAGAGACCAGCTGACCCCTGGGCCTCTATCCTCCTCTGAGAGGCTGAGACCAGCTGACGTTCTTTCACTCTGCCACCCTTCATTAAACCTAGACCACTCGGATCCATCTGAGGCAGCCCCTGCACTGTGGTCCTTGGGGCTGGAGGCAAGGGAAGGAACACTTCCCTGCACAGCCGAGAAAGCTTAGGAGGTGCACCTGGGGGCACTGGGGCTGAAGTGGCAGGCTGACAGGATCCCTCTGGATGCTTGCCCATGTCTCCATTTTCTACCTTCCCTACTGGGCTGTCCCTTCTGTCTGCCCTAATGCCAAGGAGCACCCGCCCCGAGGAGGGTGTGCACAAAGATCATTGAAGTCATTGATGACGTTTCCCGCTGGAACACGTCTTCCCCACCTCTGATAAGAAGGAAGTCCCAGCAGCTCCAGGGGCAGGAATGCTGACTCTCCAAAATGAACTGGCCGTGTTCACACACCAGCAGGAAGGGAAGCGGGCCCAAAGCTGTGCCATGTAGAAGAGGAGAAAAACTCAAAAGGAGGCAGCTCCGGACAGTGGAAGGCATGTTGGGTTCGGAGTGTGAGGATCTGTGTTCCAATCCTGGCCTGTGTTTTCCTGGGCGGGTCACTTCCCTTCAATGGGCCTCAAGCCTCCCATTATTCCGTGATATTCACTATTCTACAGACGATTACACAGGTAGGTGAAATAACTGGCTTTCTGTAACTGAGTAACAGGGTCAGGACTTAAGCCGATGCTCTAGAGGGCTGCTGGAGGCATCCTTGGCACGTGTCCAGCGGCAGACAGGACAATGATGCTGAGGAAAGTTATTATTGTCATTGTTCCTAGAGCCCCAGCAACAACTTTGTCTCTGTCTGTGCTTAACTGAGAGTCCCAATGCATAGCAAGCATCTAAGTAATGCTTGCTGCTTGAATGGTTTAAGGCAGCCTTTACTATCAAGGGAAACAGGAATCCCATCACAAAGGCTCTAAGCAAGCCAGAGGATGTTGGCTCTACTGGGGTATTTTTAGATTTTTCTTTTAATAGCTGGTCTCACGTCTCCTTGCTTTGTTTCCTCCCGGGGGTACGGGTCCTGCATATGATATCAGACTTTTGGATATGCTGGCTGAGATGTGTGGCTTAAATGGTTTTTATTATGAGGGATGGCCTTCAGGGGAGGGGGTTGGCAAATAATACAATGGGAAATTTAGGTGATAAAAACAAAAGGCATCAATAAAATGTTATTAAAAGCTGGTCTTTATGGGGGGGTTAGGGAAGAGAGAGGAGCTGGCGTTTGGAAGATAAAACACCATCCAGGTGGATCAACTTTGGGGTCTATAAACCTGTCTTTGTTCTTCAGAGGGTCTTTCATTAGCCATAGAGACAGTTTCCACAGTCTCTAGTTCAAAAGCATTCACTTGGGTTTTGGAAAAATTATGAGGCCATCAGAGCCCCCAAGAAAATGTGTTGTAAAATGTGTTGGCAAATTCTAGGTGGAATCTGGCAGAAGGTTTTGAGGGTTTGTAAAAACCTGTTTCATTCCTAGAAATGCCACCACTCATGGGATCTCCTGGGAGTGGGGAGGGATGCCTGGGGGCAAATGGCCTTGGTCACTTCCAATGGTTGGTTTTTGCTATGGTCATTATTACCTCATGGGGACCCCAGAAGGCTTCCCCAGAAAGGACTTCAAACAGACAGACTAAGATGTCCAAGATGGGGCTCCCACAGAGAAAGCAGAAAGACTGCAGAAGTGCTTTTACTGCTAGGAGCTGGGATTTCTGACCATGTCTCCACCTTCCACTGGGCCATGTCTCTCCATTCACACAGCTCTGGTGTAGGCCTCATCCTCTCTCACCTGGACTATGGCACCAGCCTCCTAATCGATCTCTCTTCTGTCCATGGCTGACAAAGTCAATCAATCCCTAAGCGCTGATTTGGCACCTACTGCTTGCTAGGCACTGCAGATATGACGACAAAGACAGAAATCAGCCCTCCTTTCAGGCGTAGGTCTGATCAGGTCACTACCCTGCTCAAAATCCTCATGGGCTCCCACTGCCTTTAGGGTCAGACACAAGCTCCACTGTTCCGTCTTCTTTCCCACTCTTCCCTTGGTCTTTCAGAACCCTGGATCCCTTTCATGTCACCTTCCACAAGAAGCTCCTCCAGACCCTCTCCTGTTTCTATGTCATCTCCCCAGCAGAATGGAAGCTCCTTGAGGGCAGCCTAACACAGGCCCTGGCACATGGCATGTGCTCACTGGCTTAGGAAAAGGGACAGGCATGAGGATGATTTAGCCTACAAAAAGGAATTTCTGGGGTCAACTGATTCCAATATGTTAACACTGGCTTGGGACCTTCAGTTTTCAAGATCTAGGCCATGGAATAAAGTAGGGACCAAGGTCCATGGAAAGCCTCACGCTACCCAGAATCCACCATGGCAGGTCCGCTCTGGGGGAGTTCTTAGGGAAAGCAGCAACAGACCAGCTACATCCCATCTTCAAAGAGAACAGAATGAAAAGGAATGGCCTCATGCAAAGAGCGCTGGCCTGGAGGTCAGCAGCCCCAGGGCCGGGACCAACTCTGTCCCTCTCAGGACCTCAACTTCCTCTTCCACCAAAGAAGGGATAACTGAGGAGCTTCTTCACTAGAGCTTGAATGGTTGAAGACAGTAGTGGCCTACATGGTCCAAGATCTGGCCAAGACTTGGGGTTGCCATAATTCTCAATGGACAGTACTATTGGTATGGAAACAAACGGCATATACTGAATAGCCACCAATCCCCAGGACGCTTCCTGGAACATTTCGTCTTTGCCAGGCAGATCCCAAATGCCAGCTTGTGTCATGGGGTCCTTTCCCCATGAGCTCTGAAAACAAGCTCCAATCAACTGTAAGTGCCCGTCAGTTAGTCAGGTTTATATCCCATCATGGTTGTTTCACAGATGGGGAAATGGACATGGCTGGGCCGAGTTCAGGGGCAAAACTCCTAAGGCTGAATTCTGGGGATGTGTGAGGCCAGCCGGCCAGTGCAAAAGAGGGTCTTGGGTTAGAGGACTGTGCTCCGAAAAGCAACATGAAAGCCCAAACCTAAACCCTACACACCCTGAGAACGAAGGAGAACATGAAAATAAAGAGGACACAGTCCATTGTCAGGCTCAGTGTGTGTGTGTGTGTGTGTGTGTGTGTGTGTGTGTGTGTGTGTGTGTGTGTGTGTGTTCGTGAAAAATGAGAAAACAGACAGACAGGGGCTCTACTTCACACTTGGGCTTGTTCTACCCAATGCCAAAACATCTGGTCAATTCACTGCCAAAAGCAATTTTGGGGCATGTCATGGCAGACTGGCTGACTGAGTGAATAATGCTCCCTTTTCAGCCACCAGTTGTAGCACTGGGTTTTGGTTGTTTTTCTTTTTAATATGATTAATTATGCTAATTGTTTCCTAATGTGGAATCACCCACACATCCCTGGTATAAATTCAACTTGTCCATAGTGAAGACTGTATATATTTCTGTGGTCTTTTTGTGAGTATTTTATGAAGAAATTCTGCATCAATTTTCAGTGGAACTATTGGTCTGATGTTCTCTTTCTTGGCTTTATCCCTCCCTGGTTTAAATCTTAGGGACATATTTGCCTCATAAAAAGAGTCGGGTAGCTGGCTTTCTCAATTATTGAGAATTTTTGTAGCACAGCTATTGTTCCTACAACGTAAGATAGATGTTCTAAGTCTGTGTGGACTACACTTGGTGTCTGTTCTTTTTAGAACTTTTTCTTAAAGTACAATTTCACTTTCTGGCGCTGAGTTGTTTAAGGACCATTTCTTGTTTTTGTATTTTGTTGGTAATAATTCATTTCCTTTAAGTTGCCAATTTTGCAAGCACAGAATTGTGCAGAGTTTATTTGGATAATTCTTAACACTTTTTCTCTTGTGCATTGTTCACTTTCTATTTTGGTAATGTGATTTTCCTTTTTTTTTTTTTGGTGGGGGTAAGGTTAGTGAATGGTTTATTATTTTCTTAGCATTCTCAAAAAAAATCAACTTTGTTTTTTTTTCTTTTCTATAGTTTCCCCCTGCCAAAATTTTCTCTAGTTCTTAATCTTCAAGATTTTGTCTTTTTTTGAAAAAACTCTATTTTCAGTTAATCACAGTTGGTTAGTTTCAGTCTCTTAACAGTCCAGCCTCCACCGTCCTGTGGCCCTTCCCAGGGGCCCCCAAGCCCCAGGCTTTCTTGAGTTCTTTTAAAGCAGACTAAGATGGTAAAACAGTGAAAATGCTGCCAGAAGACTGTCTCTTTTCTGCCTTTTTCCAAGCCAAGCTTTGCCAAAGCCCTCACTGCCTCCCCTCACTCACTTGCAGCCACTGTGGTGTTAGAACAAGGGACCATTTAGACCGAGGTTCCACTACTGTCATGAAGCGTTTAGCTCTGCAACATGTATGCACACACACATGCATTGATAGCTACATCTATCCATACCATTACGCCGACCCCCCCATTGGGGATGTGAGATGATCCCCCCCACCCCAGCACCTTCCCCTATGAGCAAGGCATCTGGCAGTGAGCCAGTCCTAGATACAAGGGGGGCCACCTTCTCACTGAGCCTGGGACCTCCTCTTTGTTTGGTTTCAAGCGCCTCTGACTGCAGCTCCTGCCTCCCTCCCCAGCCCCTCCCGACTCCCAGACTATTCTTAAGTGGAATGGTTGTACTCAGTCAATACAGCCCCAGAGAGCTCCCGAGGCCTCAGGAGTGGCCCTGGCCTTCTGACTTGTCTCTGTCCTTCAGAGTGAAGTTTTCATCTCGGCTGGTGAGCACGGACACACCGGGGGGGCCTGCGCTCCCCCTGCCCATTTCCTACTATTTCACCATATAATTTAGCCATCTCTCTTAAATTAGCCAATTTCCCTCTGGCACATTGCTGTCCACAGCTGGCTGCCCATGTGTGTGCGTGCAGAATTGTCCAACACGCTGTATATCAAACTTCATCAAAGGCCCCGCAGGACAGAGAAGCCGCGGGGCCGTCCAACTTTCTTGCATTAAAAAGATTTTATAAAAGTCCTTGATAAAACGAGTGTTTCCTGCTTTTTGATGTGTGTAAGTAGAGAAACGTTTTCTTGTTAGGGGAACAGACACACGTCCAAGAGCCTCCACGGGTCCTTTCTTAAAGCTACAGTCGCCACCGTCAGTCTGACTACTATCAATGACAAAAGTACAAAAACAGGCTTAAAAGGGCTCCGGGGGAGAAACGCCTTGTCCTTCAGCTGAGATGAGAAGATCCAAGCCTGGCTTCTTCACAGATTAAATGCTGAGCACTCCCTGAAAAGCAGTCGGTTAAGCTGAAACACGCACCCACCCCGTGGCTGGTCAGGGAGGAGTCCGCGCCTTTTTCTGGCTGGCATCACCCCCTGGGAAACAGGGGCACTCCTGATGCTGGTCCTCCCTGGCTCTGAGGGGAATCCTGGGAAGAAACCCCTACATGCTGCTGCGACGGGAGCTTGAGGCGCGAGGCCTTTGGATGAATGGCCACCGAGCCGTGGCTTTGGTGGGGTCGCCCTGGGCTGGGCACCTGAGCTCCGCGGCCTCTCCCTTTCCCTCGAAGCTCTGCCCAGCCCCAACCCTCTCTCTGATCTCATTCCAACAACCTTGGAAGAGAGACTGGAGGCACCATTAGCCCCATTTTATGGGTAAGGAAAAGGAGGCTCCCCACTTTTCCCTGGTCACAAAGTGAACCCATCAATCAACTGGCATTTATTAAGTGCCCACTGTATACCTAAAGTGAGCTAAACTCTGGAAAAAGAAAGGCAAAAGCCAGTCCCTGGCCTCAAGGACTGCCCAGTCCAGTGAGGGAGATGACATGCAGACAACTCTGCAGAAGAGCTATGGCCTGGGCCAACTGGGCATTATTGCAGTGAAAAGGTCCCAGCATAAAGGATGATGGGCACGACCTCTTGTAGAAAGTGGGATGTCAGCAGAAACTTGAAGGAAGTGAGGAAGAGGTGGGGGGGAGGGGGAGGAGGGGAAGGGGAGGAGCATTCCAGGCACAGGGTACAGCCTGTGAAAAGTCCTGCAACTGGGAGACAGAGGGTCTGAGGGGGCCAGTGCCCCTGGACCACAGAGGAAGCTGGGGGGCAGAAGGAGTGAGATGACCAGAAGGGAAGAAGGGGCATCTCCTGATGGCTCATCGGTGACTGAAGGCCAGAGGGAACAGGGCTCAGGGGCTACTGGGCAGTTTGAGCTGGCACGTTCCTGACCTGTTAGCCCAGAATATCCCTGCCAGAGGGGTTTCCTCAGGGGTTTTTAACTGAAGGAGAGATGCTTTCCCTGAGAGCCCATGGCCCTTCTTGGCTTGAAGAAAAGAAGAGAATGTGGAATGGACCCGCATTAGAAGATAGGCTTACCCAGGGCGCAGGGCCTGTCTCACTCCTCTCTGCATCTCCAGCACCGAGGACTGGGCCAGGCACATAGCAGGCACTTAATAAATGATGCCTGGGGGTAGATTTGGGGCTGAAAGGGATCTAGGAGCGGACTCTAACCTGTCATTTTACAGACAGAGAGACTGAGGCCTTGAGAGGCTGCTAGGTGGCATGCCTAGCTGGCACAGTGATGGAGCTAGTATTAGAAGCCAGGCAGGTAAGACTGTTGAGGCATAACCCTACTGGGTGGGCTCTGGAGCCAAGATTTGGCAATGGGGCCTCTGGGTGTGGAAGCTCCATCCACTAGGGCAGGCCAGCACCTTGTCTGCATCTTGGGGGCAGTGGGTCAGGATTCTACCCCTGGCAGGTGTCTAAGGTTGGCCTTTCTCCCTCCAAGGCTGGCCCTCTAGCCACTGTGCCACACTCCCTCTCAGAGAAAGAAGTCTATGGTGCCTGAGCTGGGAAAGACATCTGGTCCAGCTTACTCGCTTTACAGATGGCGGCCCCCAGGAGAGGTTTCCCCCCCCCCCGGGTCACAGCGTGGGTCAGGGCTGTCCAAAGGTTAGCACCCTGGCCTCTGGGGCCTTCCTTTGCTATTAGCTCACTCAGGGTGTTCGGCCTCGTCTGCTTGGGACTGAGTGCTCTCTTCACAATCAGGCGGTTCCCAGAGCGGCCTGGGCTGCCTCAGAGGTGGTGGTGCGGGGTGTCCCGGCCCTCATGGGACGTCTTCAGGCGGGGGCTGGCTGACCACTTCTGTGGTCCTTCCCAACCCCAAGGTTCTGGGGTTCTGAGAGCTAAGCTCCAGTTCGGAGGCAGAATGGGCAAGTTGTCTTTGAATGGGAGACGTTAAGTACATAGCTCTGAAATGCTACCTCTAGAAATCCTGCAAGACACACCCATGCACACATGCACATGCATGCAGACAGGCTCTCACTGGGCAGCAGCCCACCACAGAGAAGGCCACAGTGATCCCCAGCGGGCTGGGCCGTGACAGCCGGGCTCCGTGGATGCCCATGGCTTTGGGTGAGGAGTCTGAACACTGACTCTGGACTAGGGGAGTTCTCTTCTCTCGGGCCTCTGTCTCCTCATCTGTAAGACACGGAGACCAGATGAGGGATCATCGGTGCTGATGATGCCACGTTTGGGTCTGTCTGGGGTGGGAGGCCCCTCCCTCACATAAAAGGACCCCGCAAGCATCTGGAGAGCAGTGCTGGCTCAGGGAAGACAGGATTTTTTTTCTGGGTTTTGGGGCGTGGGTGGAACCAGTGGGTATGGATTCAAATCCTGGTTCCTTGAGCACAAATTGGATAATAAATACTTAGGCCTTTGGAGGGAGAAGGGAGAAGCCAGACCCAGGCTTAGCAAAGCTGTGTGACCTTGGGCAAAGCAATTAGCTTCTCTGAAGGACAATGACTGTGGTGAGTGACTGAGAAATGGAGCAGAGCCTGCCAGAGGCCATTCCTCGCTCCTCGGTTGCCTTCTGCCTGGGCCCTTCTCCCCAGGCCCCTCCTCACGCTTCTGGCCTGATCCAGCTCATTGCTAGCCCTCCTCAGCCCAACCCTGGCACCAAGCCCTTGGGGACCCCCACTCCTTTGGCAGCACTTGTGAGAGCGGCCCGATGGGGGCTCTGGAGCCAAGAAGATGCGGGTTCAGCTCCTGCCTCTGACACCCCCAGGCTGTGACCTTCCCAGAGTCTCCCCGATCCATCGCATCTTTTTTTTTCTCTGCCCTCTTGGTCCCCTCATCTCTTGCCTTAAAACAGGTTCAGGCCCCTCTAGCCTCAGACGCTGGACCCTTAGCTCCGGTCGGCTCCTCCTCCACATGGCCAGCCTCCCTCTTCTGGAGGATTCAGCCGACCTTCATGGCCTCTGTTTCCCTCCTTCCCAAGCCCCTCAGCATCTGCCTTCCCTTTCACCCCCTCCCCTCAAGGCCCCCAAGGCCCTGCTAATTGCCCAAAGCCAGAGGCTCTTTCCCGGTCCTCAAGCTTCCTTGGGTGCTTGGCAGCGTCTGACACCAGACCCCAGCTTCTCCTCGTTGGTCTTCGGGGATCTTCCCTTCTGGATCTTGCCCTCCCTCACTGACCTCCCGGCCCCCAGGCAGAGGGGGCCTCTCCTGCGCATTCTCAGCCAGACCCACGGCCTTAATTCCCAGTATGGCGCCAAGCACCCCCAATCCACAACTCCGGCCACCTGGCGCTCCGTTCCCCCGCCATCTGCCGCTGCTGACGCTCTCAGCCGCCTGTGCTGAGCTGTTTGGCCAAATGGCTGAGGATGCTATTGGGGTTCTCGCTCTTGCGCCCAGTCTGTCTTTCGCACACTCAGGAACCGCTAAGTGGTTCCTCCCGGGCCCAATCCATCCTTCACAGAGTACGAAAGAACCAAGCCAATCACAGGAGCGCCCTCAGGCCCTGTCAGCTATGACTCGGCCATGAAGCTTTTGGACAGCAACTCCTCAGTCCAGCCAGGCTGCCTTCCCCCAGCGTTCCAGGCATAATGCCTCCTCTCCCATCGCTGTGCCTGCCCCATCCTAATCACTTCTGCCTCCCAGAACTCTGCCTTTACTTCAGAGCTCAGCTGCAGCACTCCCAGGGGAGCCCTTTCCTGACTGCTCCCCAGCTGCCTTCCACTTGTATTGCTCAGTATCTACTTAGCTGGCAGAGTGGAAGCTCACTGAGGGCAGTGCCTAGTCCCCAGAAGAGCTCGCTGATAGAGCGGACTCAGCAGGGACTCTGTCCCTCGTCTTCTGAATCTCTGCTGTGCACTCCACACCAACTGGAACCCCGTGAGGGCAGGCATGGGCCACGTGTCCAGTCTCCAGGGAAGCAGCAGCTAGTGCACTGAGCGGGGCAGGGGCCTGGATTCTGTGAACGCGGCAGGGAGGCGATAGGATGCCCTCTCTGGGCCTCACTTACGGCAGAGGCGGGGCACTGAGCAGGGCTTGGCGATCCCTAGGACACTGATTAAACAGGGCCGGCCCATCTGCCTGGTGGCTGCTCCCCCACAACCATCTTTGCTGCCTGCTCACGTGCAAACCCTTCTGTGAACCTCCTTTGGGCTCAGGGGACAGAAGGTCGGAGTCGGGAAGCCCTGAGCACAAATCCAGCCTCAGACCCATACTAGCCACGTGACCCTGGGCGAGGTCCTCTGAGCCTCATTTTTTTTTTTAGGTAATTGGGGTTAAGTGACTTGTCCAGGGTCACACAGCTAGTAAGTCTCAAGTGTTTGGTCTGAGAATGGATTTGAACTCATGGCCTCCAGACTTCAGGGCTGGTGCTCTATTCACTGCGCCACCTAGCTGCCCCTATGAGCCTCATTTTCCTTAGCCTTAAAATGGTACCATGAGGAGTGAGGATCTATGCCCTAAAGCTGCTGTTTGGCCCCAACTAGGGGCTACAAACCTTTGAGAGCTAGACACAAGTGGGAGAGGTGACCTTCACCTCTGTGCCTCAGTCTACCCAAAGGAGACCTCTGCGGCCTCCTCCCACCCAAAGCCTAGGACCCCGTGAGCTCTAAGAGATGTTCACAACAAGAAGGAAAAGACTCAGTGAGGTAAGGCAAACACACCAGGGGTAACCCCGGGGTGCGGGCAGCATGTGGTGGAATGAGCACCCCACCTGCTTTCTCCCTGGGTGACTGGGCTGTTCCCTCCCCTCCCCAGCCCCCTCGCACCCTCCCAAGCCCATCTAAACTCGCTGATCGTCAGGCCCGGCGGGGTCTGCAGGAGCCCACCAGGGGCTGCCTGGGGCACTCGGCCACTGCCGCCACCACCCCCTGATCGCATCGAGGTAAAACCGTCCCTGACACCTTTCATTGTCCTCCTACCTCATTTCCCAGCAAAGCAGAAACACATGCTTCCGAAGCATCGCAAATGGCTGTCAGGTCGTGGCCTCCTTCCAGGGCCAGGACGATGCGGCCGCCGGCCAGTCCCATGAGCTGCTTCGTAAGGTACCCGAAACCTGCGGGGCGGCAGGGAACGCAGGAGAGGGGCAAAGGTCAGCAGCTGAACAGGCTCCTGGCAGGCGATCAAAGCAGCCCCGAAAGGTATGACATCATATTAAAGAAGCTGTGAGGGGGCTGGGGCCTGAGCTGCCTAATAGGAGCCAGGTCTGAGCCCAATAAATTCATCTCAGAATTTCAGGGCTGGATTCCCCTTTCTGATCTGTGTGAATATAAGAATGATGTTTGCGAAAGTAAAAAATGATCTGTTGGGGGGGGCAAAGAAAGATCTGAGGGGGAGTGACTCTGTAAGAGCATCGGACCGTCAAACTCTGGGACAGTGTGCGTGTGAGTGTATGTGAGAGTGTGTGTCTGTGTGAGAATGTGAGTGTGTATGTGTACGTGTGAATGTGTGTGAGTGAGGGAATGTGTGTGTATAGGAATGTGTATGTGTGTGTGAAATTGTGTGTGAGATTGTGTATGTGATGTGAGTGTGCATGTGTGAATGTGAGTGTGTGAGAATATGTGAGCATGTGGGTATGTGTACATGTGTGAATGTGTGTGAGTGTGAATGTGTGAATGTATGTGTATGGGAATGTGTATAAGAATGTGAATGTGCATATGTGAATGAAGGCATGTGAGCATGTAGGTATGTGTACATGTGTGAATGTGTGAATGTATGTGTATGGGAATGTGTATAAGAATGTGAGTGTGCATGTGTGAATAAATGTATGAGTGTGTGAGAACATGTGAGCGTGTGGGTATGTGTATATGTGTGAATGTGCATGAGTGTGAGAGAATGTGTGAGCGTGTGGGTATGGGAATGCGTGTGTAAATGTGAATAAGTGTGTGAGGCTGCCCTCTCCTTCCTCTGGGAAGGCAGGGGGGCCCCGTCAGCCCCATGGGGCAAGGTTCCAGAGAGATCCTTTCACACACCGGCCCCCTACAAGGGACAGAAGCGACACACTGGGCATCTACACTGTGGAGCTGACCTGGTCTCCCACCCTCCCCTTGAATCACGTCCTTGCGGGATCCGCCATATTCTAGAGAAACCTCCTAAGGCGTGATGCTAATTAGTCACATCTTTGGTAGGTTCCTGACCAAGCAAATAATGCCCTCATGACCTCTATCCTGACGGTTCCCTCTCAGAAGCAAAGCTACAGAGTTAGGGGTGCAGGGGCTCGGCCAGCAGATCCCAGGAGTCTCAGGGCCTCGACCAGCAGGGGGCAAGAGAAGGGGGGATGCCAGTCCTGGAGCAGGCACCACAGAACATGCACCCTGGGAGGGCAGGGACTTCCGATTCTGTCTTTGCATCTCGGGCCTCTAGCACAGAGGGTGCTGAATAAATGTCGGTGGAGAGCAGGGGCTACGTCACCTTTTTTGGCATCTACACTGCCCAGGCAGCACAGCTTGTGGGCCTGGCCTGGAGACAGGCCTCACATCTCACAGAGGGTGAATCAGAAATGAAAACAACATGGCCAAACAGGCCTTGTTTGGGCCTGCCACGCCCTCGGTGGCCCTGCTGCATGGACCCTCCCTATGGCTGGGAGAGACAAGAAAGGCCCGGCCTGCCTCGCTTCACCAGCATCAGGGAAACAGTAGGTTGTGAACCTGGGGAGGGTCCCTCTCGTGCCTCTATGCACCTGCAGGGGCTGGAGCTCACAGGCAGAGGATGAGACCCGAAGGTGGTCAGGGCACTTGCCTGGGCATGGTTCGAAGGCCTCATTTAAACTCATTGTCTGCAGGGTGGGGACATTTCAAGGCCACCGGCCCAAGGGGCCAGAGGCAGAAGGGTCGCTGAAGCAGTGATTAAAAAAAGAAGAGCCCAGACTGAAACTGGACAGCCTGGCATCCTGGTGGTGAGTGCTGCCAAGGTCCCCTGCCCACCTCTCCAAAGTGCTGAAACGAGCCGAGCGCGGGAATAACCTGAAAAACCCCACTTACACTTTGCTGACAGGTTATAGCCTCCGAGAGGTGTAGGGTGGCCTTCCACAGCATCGAAACCAGATGAAACCAGCACGACATCTGGGGCGAATTCGTTAGCCACTGGCATGACGACCGTCCTGCAACACGCAAGGAGAGGCATGTTAACCCTGCAAGAGCCCCCCAGAGCCTGCCGCCCCTCTGCTCTGCCTGGGATAGCGGGCCCAGAGATGCAGCGACAGCCTCCGAGAAACACGCAGACCTGCTCGCACCCAGGCCCTTTAGCTCAGAGCAGTAAGATGGGCTTGTCGTGGGCTGAGAGCCCCTGTGGCACCTTGACGAGGAGCCTGGATGAGTCACACAGCACGGGAGACCAAGGGCCGGCTGTCATCAACCCCCCGGGTCCATGCCGGCGGGCCCACCTGTGGCTCCCTGTATGTGGTGTCCCACGTCCCACCTCCACACTTTTGCACTGGCTGTGCCCCATGCCTGGAATGCACTCCCACCTCACCTCTGCCTTGAGGAATTATTTCATGGCTGAGTTCCTACAAGACCCTGCCAGGGGCTGGCCCATCCCATCCCCCACCCCTCCACTCCCAGCTACATTGTATCTTCTGAGGTGAGGGCTTGGACTCACCAGCGGTAGGACCCTTGGCAAGCCAGGTAACTGCCCTGTGCCTCAGTTTCCTCCTCTGTCAAAGGAGGGGGCAGGCTGCATGGCCTCCATACCTGGGATGCCAGGACCCAGCTTTGCACCCACTTTTCTGGGCACACATTATCTCCAAGAGAAGGCACATTCATGGAGGACTGGGGCCAAACTGACCCTTTGTGCTGGGCACAGGACAAACCCAGGCAATGTCCCTATAGAGCTGCACTGGCAGCTGCCCTGGTGGGGGGGGAGCATCTGGCTCCACCCACAAGCCCCCAGGGGCTGGGGCAGGAAGGGCCTGGTGCTCCATGGGCTCTATCCACTCTGCAGTCTTCATTCACTAAGTAGGAGCTGGTCAGTGGGCTAGGAAGCATGCCCAGAGGCAGGCTCTCTCTCTGGGGCCGGGCCGCATGCCCAGAGGCGGGCTCTCCCTGTGCTGTTCCCAACCTGCCACGGCTGTCATGGCGTGGGCAGCACCAGGGCCAAGGGTGGGAACATTTCCTTTCTAAAGCATCTATTTCTAGGCCATTACAAGTGGGGGTTTGACGCCTTTTGAAGCCCTTGAATCCGGACGTCCCTGACAGGACATTTGTACTTTGGCATTTGCTTTTCCTAAGCAGTTGGCAGGAATGGAGGCTGGTGGCCCAGGAGGCAATATTTCCCACCCTTTCATCCATGGAGTAGATGTCTTCAAGAACATGAGTCTGAAAGGATCAGAAACCACCAGAAACACTCTGGGGACGAACACATGTGGCTTCCGAGCACATGAAATGTGACCAGTCATAGCACTGGGCAGTCTTCTCCACGTGCGATCCGCCCCAGGCGGGTTTGGGTCCTTCTGAGGCTCGGGGGCAGAAACAGCAGGTGGGCTCGCAAAGGACCATCCTAGGGGACCTCTGCTTTTAAACCTGGCCCAGCTGCACTGAGGGATGATGCTCCAAGCTTGGTCCATGAGCGGCAGGAACGCTCCCTAGGAGCTGCTGCAGTGCATTCACAGGGCCCCCCGATGGGACGTCTTCCCCACCCCTCCCGTGCCCATATGGTTTTCTCATTTTGGTCTGAGGAAGTCCCCCAGAAGAATCTCCCTCTGCCACCAGGGGCCTGTCCCCGGGGTCAGCCAGCCACGGGGGCCCAGCCGCTGGCCAGTCTGCCTCCCTTCTGGGTGCACGTTCTCAAAAGATTTTGAGACCCCTGGAACTGAGTCTGCTTTGACCAATCTGCGTGTGGTCTGCCTCCTGGCAGAATGAAAGCTACCGGAGGGCAGGGATTGTCTCTGCAGTTTCAGGACGACTTGCTACAGTGCGGCTCAGATGGATGGAGAGAGAGAGGCACAGAGGAGATGTGGCTGCATGGATGAAGGAGAGATGAGTACTAGATGCTAGCCGGACAGATGGAGATCAGGAGAAGAGATAAACAGGTGAACAGACAGAGAGAGGAGAGATGGATGGGTGTCTCAATGACGTGAGAAGAACAGAAAAGGGAGGAGTTGTCCACAGGAACATGCCAAGCCAGCAGACTGTCTCCTGCTTCCTCAGGTCTCCACTGCTCCCCGCACTGGGAGTCTGATACTGTTGGCTTCCAATGGCATTCCGACTTGTCCAGGAGTCATCCTCCTCCCTCCAGCTGCTCCATCCAGGTAGGGGGGGACCCCGACCCCCCCGAGGCCGAAGGCGTCTCCTCCACAAAGGGCTCGAGAGGCGGTGGCTGGTTATGTCTCCGCTTTGAAGTGCTGCAGAGTTATTCACTATGAGCCTGAGAGAAACTGCTAAGATCATCATTTCCCTGAGCGATTACCATGAGAGGCACTAATAACTCAGCCTGCCGTGTGGCGTCCCTCCAAAGCCAATCGAAACAAAGTGGGAGATACGGTGCACGTGTGCACGTGTGTGCATGTGTGTGCGCGCATACCCTGGCCCGACAGAACAGACCATCAGGAAGGCGGGGCAGCTGGACACACACACACACACACGTTCCGCCTGCTCTAGATGAAGAGGTTTGGGCCCCGCTACCCACCAACCACCGTAATTCCAAGTGTTTGCCCAAAGCCCAGACAGCTTGGAGGGATGCTGGTGCCAGACACCATGCTGAGCTTCTCTTCTGTGCCAGCCACAAGCCTTCTGGTGTGACCAGCAAGTCTCCGCCCTGGCTCAGCTCGCCCACAGTCACCACTGGGCCGGGGAAGTCCAAGACACTTAGACCGGGAAGACAAAGGGACAGACGGAGGATCCTGCAAACCCTGGGTGGGAAGAGGGCCCTGCTCGCTTGTGCTCCAAGCTGGCGCCCCTGGATCAGAGTGGCCGGAGGGCCCAGAGGGGGCAGGGATCTCCTGCGGTGATGATGGTGATAACAGGGTCAGGTCTGGCCTGGGGGACTTGCCTACCAGAGGAGAAAGCCCCTTTAGCAGGGCTGGAGCAAGCCTCTTCACCTTGGAGAGAACACACGGGTAAGGGTCTCACCCGCTCCACCCTCCCACGACCAGTCTGTCTCAGAGGCAGTACTTGAACCCAGATCTTCCTGACTCCAGTCGCTATGGGGGGCACCTCTCACAACAACCAGACACCATCATCTCACACTGACCCAGGCAGAGGGGACCTCACTTGGCCCTCCCAACAGCCTCGCTACTATTCCCCCCTCAGAGATGGGCCTTTGAGGATTTTACAGTTGAGCCAGGAGGCAGAAGGCAGTCACTGGGATTTACTGAGGAGGAATGCGACACGGTCAGTCTGGCCTGGGGTGTGGGGAGATGCAGGGTGGGGGCAGAGTCAGAGGAGAGGAGGGGGTGCAGGAAGGCGGACTCTGTGGCAGGAGAGGGTAGTCCGGGCGTGAGCCTGGGGGATGGTCATAGGAAGTTCAGAGAGCAGGTGGCCTTGAGGGAAAGGTAACGGGATCAGTTTTGGAGAGTTTGGTTTGGAGATGTCTACAGGATGCCCAATTGGAGACGCCAGCTTCAGGCCAGCACGGGGCATGGGGCTGGGCAAGGTGATCAGCGTCATTCGTGGAGACGCTAACGGAACCCACAGGAGTTGGTGAGACTGCGAAGGACAGAGCCTGAGGGACACCCACGGTCAGTGAGAGGGGCCTGAAAGAAGATCCAGGAAAGGAGACAGGGGAGCAGCAGTCAGAGGCAGGAGGAGAACCAGGAGAGAGGCTCGTCCCTGGGATCTTGAGACAAGAGTGACCCACAGTGTCCAAGGCTCCAGGGAGGGCGAGGAGGGGAGGCTCTGGCCAGCAGGAGATCCCTGGGCAGTCTGGGCTGAAGCCGGACCGTAAGGGGTGAAGAGAGGAGAGGAAGGGGATGAGAGACAGGCCCTGGCCCAGCAGCCACGTATGTGTGTGTGGATGGAAACGTGGTGCGTGGCGCATGGCCCGTGGGGCGCTCTGGGCGGCAGCCCCAAGCCCACTGGACGGAGCCATCTCGTTTTGTGCTCGGCTCTTTCTAGGCTGATTTCGGGGCAGCAGAGAAGGCGGCCTCCAGACATTTCCTGCATGATCTTCTGGTGAGGTCTGGCCCTGGGTCGCGCTCTCCTAAGCTCATCATGACAAAGCCTGCTCTCCACATCTTCTCCGAGGATATTCCTTGAAGCAGCAGGTGGCCTCGGGCACCCTGTGCCAGCCGCCGATCAAAAGAACCTCTCCAACATTTAGAACAAACACTGAATCCTCCCCATCCGACCCCTGCAGGCCAACAACTGAACCCTCCCTCATAACACCAGAGCACTGGCACTGCATGCCTCACTACACACCCACGGGCCACCACCTTCGTGCCACTCAGGAGAGAGATGTTTCCATGGAAGTGCCCCCTGAGCCCCACCCTTGCCCTGTCCCAAAGAGCCTCAATTCAGCTGCCTGATTTCAGTTCAGAATCAAGAAAAACAGAAATGCCCCAGTCCCCTGGGGCAACAGACAGGTGCCGTCTGAAGCCTCTGCGAAGTGCCCCTGCTGCTTTCCTCCTCTCTTCTGCCATGGGCTCTCAGCAAGTCACCATCATGCCCTTCGCCTCGGTTTCCCCTTGTGTAGTTTAAATTAGCTGGCTGCTAAGTTCCCTTTCAGCTCTGAAGCCAAGGCCCCATTGCGATAGCATGTCGCTCTCTCTAGGAAGCTATCTGGACTTCATGACATTTCACGGTTGGTCCTTGCCCTTCTCAGAAAATGGTAATAATGAAGATACGAGTCTTCCCATGGAAAACCTGGATCGATAACCAAAGGCTGCTTGGAGGACCCGCGGTCAAAGACGCTGGCTCACCCAGAGTCACCGGCCACCATGTCTCAAGGTCGTGTTCCACGGAGGTCAGTGGGACTCCGCTGCCTCTGCACCACTCACCCGAATGTAGGGCAGGGCTCTCGTTGGGCAGCGGCCGGGTAGAGGAAGGGGTTAACTGAGCCGGCTCCCAGCTCAAAGCCTTCCCTTGCGGTCCCTCCGTAAACTTCAAAGTCTCCCTGTTCGGCGTCAGGGCTGGTTCAAATTAGAGCCCCCCGCTCTCGGCTGTGAGCTTCCATGGTCCTGGGGAAAGTGCCACAGCCTCTGGATTTCATTAGCGCCCACACTCTTATCTTTGCTTCATCGCGGGCCTGATCCCCTGCAAATGCAACATGGCAGGCAACGGGCCTGCGTAACAAGGTGCAGCCTTGAAGGCCCGCGCCGTCTCCAGGGGCTCACAAAGAGGGGGGAAAAAGCAGAAGAAAGGGAGAAAAAGGGATATGTGAGCCCCTCTCTCCACGGCCATAAATTGGGAACATCAAAGCCCCATCTTACATTGAAATCAATAAAAACCTAGGACGATTTTCCTTTCTAAACAGGCCGCTGGAGCTTTGATAAGCTTGCTTGAGATGGTGGCATCGCAGACAGACTTGGCAGGAGATTAAAACACAATTTCTGGAGGTCCACGGGGAAGGACAGCGCTCCCGAGAGGGACTGATGGAGCCGGGGTGCCGCCAATGCCGGTGCTGATGCCGCTATGGGGGAGGGGGGTACGCCCGACGATCCCACCCAATGAAACCCACCGGGCACAAAGCCGTGCCCATGACTGTGCCGCCTCCATGGAAGAGATGGGGCTGGCTCTCCTCACTGTGAACCATGGAAAGAGCTCTGGGTTCGCCATCTGAATCCAGCTGTGGCTCCCAAGGCCTCCACAGGCTCTGCTGAGTGAAGGTGTCCAGAAGCACAGAGTTTGGGGGGTAAGGTCATCCAATCTGCACCCCTGTTTTTACAGATGAGGACAAGTGGCCTGCCTGAGGCTGCACAGGGAATAAGGAGGAAGGTACTTGTTGGCTCCCAAGTCTGAGGCCCCGAGTTCAAATCCCACTTGAGCTGCTTACAGCCTCTGGGCAACTTTGGACAGGTCACTCAGGGTCTCTTTCCTCATCTGTACAATGAATGACTGGACTCAATGTCCTCTAAGGCTTCCTCCATCTTGAGATCTGGGATCTCACGGTCCTAAGCAGCACAGGTAGGATTCAAACCCAGATCCTTTGGCCCCACAGTCTTCGGGTCCCTTCAGGCTCTTGGGCTGCCATCCAACGATGTCTTATAGAAGTGGCCGTTCAGAGAGATGGAGTCAATCAGTTTTGGGTTAACTCCAGGCTGCAGAAACACTATCCCAAGGAGTCAGCGTTGGAGTCTTTGAGCCACTTGTTATTATCATCGCTTTTAAAGACTTGGAGAGCTGAGCGTTCTCAGCCTGGGGGAGGAACAAATCAAGCAGCGTTGCCCCGATTTTCAGATGTCAGTCACTGCTCTGGGGAGTGGGTCCCTATTCAAGCTATGTCCAGAGACAGCCCGAGGCCCATCCCATCTGGTCAAGAGCCAGGGGAAAGAGAAAGGCCCTCTGGCTGCCAAGAAACCCTGCCTACTTCTGCCTGGCCATGCTTCCAGGGGCTGGGCCCCTCGCCAACACACTGACTCTGAGGGTCACTCCGCTGGTCAGTGTCTGAGGCTGGCTTAGAACTCGGACCTCCTGACTCTAGGGCCAGCACTCTGCACCCCAGGTCCCAGGGCCCCCTCCGGGCCATGAGGGCCTGAAATGGGCTATTCTCTACACTGTGGTTTATGTACGGCCGGCCTTCGTACACCCTGGCTGAGTGACCTCTCAGCGGCCCGGCACCTCCTCCCTCTTCCACGGTGCCCAAATCTCGCAAGGGGCCGTCCTCACAAAAATCTTGCGGACTCATCTAAATCTGATAAGTTATGACCAGCAACCTTTGACCTAAGAGGGCACTGAGGCCCAGGGAAGCCGCGTGTCCTGCCCGGGTCCCCAGCGAGGCCCTGGCCCTGGGCCATACAGAGAGGATCCCGCGGGAATGGTGGCTCTCTGCATATCTGAGCTGGCCCCCCACCCAGAAAGGAGGAGAGGGGTGGCCTGAAGGGGGGCCAGATGATGAGAGGAGGTGGGAGGCCCCAGGACAGAGACAGTCCCAAGGGGCGTCCCCAATCTGTCCTCATTTACCTAGCACTCCTAACTCCCTGTGCTCACACGCTGGTGCCAATGGCCCAGGTGATAAAGACTGGGGCCAGAAGCACTGACAAAGACCCAGAGAGGAGGGCCTTTCTCTGGTGCGATCACCAAGCACTCTGGGAAAAGTTGGGGCACAGAGCCGGAAGGCCCAGGTTCAAATCCTGCCTCTGCGAGTCCCCGTCTGTCACCAAGGTGAGACCTCCTCAGGCCTCCCACCATGCAGAGCTGCCCACCAAGCAATAGCCCCTCCTTTTCCAGAGGACAAGGGACCTGTCCAAGGTCATGCAGACTATCAGAGTCAGCATGTAAGCCCACGTCCTGCCTCCAAATCCAGGGTCGTGAACCCCAGTGCACAAGAGGAGAGACTGGAGCAGCCAATCTCTGTGACCTCTCTCAGCTCTGATGGACCTAGAGCCCTGAATGCACAGTAACTCAGTTTACCCATCTGTGGAATGACCCTATTCTGCGTCTCTCATCAGTGTTAGAAAAATCCTGCGTCTGGCAAAAAGCGGGAGAGAAAGTTAACGTTGGGCTGGTTTTGAGATGCATGAGCGTGCGTCCCAGAGGAGCTGAATGCTTGCGACGTCTCACAAAAACAAAAAGATCCATGTGCCCCCCGGGAGACCTGGGACAGAGCATGTGGCCCTGGCCTCGGGCAGGAGAGGAAGAGAGATGCAGACCCACTTCGACACGGCCCCGTGTGCATGCGCGTGGCTGGGCCAGGCGTGTTTCCAACACCCAAACGACGATGAAGACAATCAACATGGCTGACCACCAATGGATGTCATGATGGCAGACACAAGAACGTGTCCTCCCGAGGGTGGAGGGAAGATCCAGGCCACAGGCAGACAGACTCAGCACAAGGAATCCGGAAGCTTACCTGAAGGCAGTCAGATATTCTGTATCTCCCATGGGTGGGTCCAAGCCACCAGTAAACGCCATGTTCACATTGAAGCCGACCCCAGGTCCTGTGCCAACCTAGGATGAGGAACGAGAAAGACAACAGTTCAATGACGGAGCTATCGATGCGACTGCTGCTCTTTTTAAGACATTTCCAGTGTCTCGTGTGCCTAGCAGGCGCATAAGCAGAGGCCAGAAATCAGATCTCTCAGCTTTCTGTTGGCTGCATCTTGGGCACCACCGTGACGCCAGTGCCAGGGGCTCAAGGTGGAAGTGGGCCAATGGTGACTGCTGCTTGTCTCACGCTGTGCCCTGGGGGCCTGGCACTCCCGTAGGGGCCCCATGAGAAATCTTCTAAGGTCCTGACACCAGCCCTTGATGAAATCACACAGGGTAGGAGCAAGAAACGTCTTCAGTGGGAAGCCCGGCTTCCCTGCCTGCTTCCCCCCAGAATTTCCCTGCCCTCAGCCCCGTTCCCTCATCCTGGGGACATTTCCGATTCACAGCCTCCCTGGTTTCCCAAAGGTCCTTCGGTCTGAATGACACCTTGGGCCGCTCTGACACAGGCTTTCTATGTGTACCCCGGCAGACGCCTGGCCACACAGAGTTATGGGCTCCCAGTGGGACAGGGTTGGGCAGGTCCCTGGGGAGTGGGGGTGGGGGGGCGTCCTTTATTCTGCTAGGATGTCCTGGCTCTGTGCCTTCTGTGGGAGAATCCCACCTGAAACCCAGTTGACGAGATGGGATTTATCACCTTCATTCCACCCACTGCCTCCCATTGCCATGTTTTGTTCAAAGGGGGAACACCCTCTGCTGGTGGGCAGCCGGCGGGGGCCGCTGTAGACCCTGGACAGGCCACCGCAGACCAACGGTCCTTCCGGCCCCCCAGCTGGTGGGCATCCCCTCTCTAGAGGGCGCTGGGGGGAGGGGATGTAACACAGCCGTGAACACTCTGGGGTGGGGGGGCAGGAGAGCCTCCCCTGCCTGCACGCTTTCCTTTGGCTGATTCTCCAGGACTGGCATTTGTGCTTGGGACAAAAATAAAGGGCTCATGGGAGACCGAGTCAGGCTCACGCACCCGGCAGATGCCAGCGTTTCCAACTCCGCTCGTCTCTTAGGATTCCTGGATTCCTCCAAAGCTCAGCTCAAGCCACGGGGGCCAGAGACCATGTACTGAGTCTGGGTCAGGGTGGAGGCTCCAAGGTGGGGCCTGCCAGTTCTATGTGGGTGGCATGAGGGGGGGCATTACTTCATGCCTCCATGGATGCAGTGGAGCACCGGGCTTGGAGTCAGCAAGACCCGAGTTCAACTGCTGCCTCAGACCCTCACTAGCTGGGTGATTCTGGGCAAATCACTTGACTACTGTCTGGCTCAGTTACCTCATTAGTAAAACACAGATAACAACAGCACAAATCTCATAAGCTTGTTTTAAACACTAAATGAGATATCTGTTAAACATTTAGCATGTGCCTGTCACAAAGTAGGTACAAAATAATCCTCCCTCCCTTTCTTCCTCTCTTTCCCTCCTTTCTTTCCTTCCTTCTTCTCTTTCTCCCTTCTTTCCTTCCTTCCTTCCTTCCTTCCTTCCTTCCTTCCTTCCTTCCTTCCTTCCTTCCTTCCTTCCTTCCTTCCTTCCTTCTTTCTTTCCTCCCTCCCTCCCTCCTTTCCTTCTTTCCTCCCTCCTCTCCCTTCCTCTCTTTCTCCCTTCTTTCCTTCTTCTCTCCCTTCCTTCCTTCTTTCCTTCCTCCTTCCCTCCCTCCTTTCCTTCCTTCCTCCCTCCCTCCTCTCCCTTCCTCTCTCCCTTCCTTCCTCCCTCCTTTCCTTCTTTCCTCCCTTCCTCTTTCTCTCCCTCTTTCATCCGTATAATAAGGGAGGCTGGACCACAGACAGCCTCTAAGATTCTTTCCAATTCTGAACACATACATATACGCATACGTGTTGTCTCTCCTCATAGAATGGAAACTCCGTGAGGGCAGGGTCTGTTTCATTTTTGTCTCTGCATCTTCAGGGCCAAGCACGGGCACAGGCCACTAGGCATTGAATACATGCGCGCTGATTGAGTGACTGAGAAAGACCACATAAAGGTCAACACAAAAAAATTCAAGGAGCATTTATTAAGCCCCTACTATGTGCAGGACACTACAGTACTGGGTCCTACTCTGCTAGGACCCTATGACAAATTTAAAATAGAAAGCTCATGACTGACACATTTTAAAGTCGCCTCTCTACCTGGGAAAGCCTAGACCTAAATAAAAGTAAGCTCAGACATTCAACTAGTACTCCTTGAGCACCTACTGTATGCCAGACAGCTTTAGACTCCGGGTGCACAAAGACAAAGACAAAAATTATCCTTCCTCTCAGGGAGTTTACATTCTTCTGGGAGAAACAGACCCCATGTACACGATCCATCCGTCCACCAAGCATTCCCTCAGCCGATAGGCGCTGGAGGTAAGACGCCCCAGCCTCCACATAAATCCCCCATGGCTCTGCGTCTGGGCTTGTCAGAGGCCCGGCCCCCCAGAGCTGCGGTCCACACTGGCTTCTGCCTGTGGCCAGGGCTCAGCCCAGCCCCCGCTCACCTCGTCAGGGGCTCCACTGCCAGGGAAGAAGTTGCCATCGTCATAGCGATGCAGTGAGATGTACAGCACGCTGGGGTCACTATAGAAGGCCTGCTGGGTACCATTGCCGTGATGCACATCCTGAGGCAGACAACGGGACGGAGGTCAGTGCCCCGATCGCAGCTGTTCATCCAGGAGAACCTGGCGGCTTCTCAAACCCTCACCCCACCCCCAAATCCTCCCCATGCTGAGGGGTAACCTGCCTGCCTCAGCAGAACAGGAGCACCTGCCGGGGGGTGGGGCGCAGGCACTAAGGGCGTGTCAGAGGCGGGGCTGGTTCCTGGAGCCTCCAAAAGCCCAAAATCTCCATGGCAGAAGGAGCCGAGCTGCCCTCTGGCTCAGCCATCCCTCCTCCCGGCCCAGCGGCCCAGTCGATCCCCTCGTCCCTTCCCTCCCATCTCCTGCTGTGATCACAGGAGGCCCCTGGGGAGCGGGAGCCGTGGGATGGGGAGGAGCCTCCCAGGGGTTCAGACATATTCTGCATGTTTCTTACTCTTATTTAAAAATAAATACAATTGTGGTCCTTGGAAGAAAAGCGGAGTAAGTCTGCTCAAAGACTGAAGAAAAGAACCAAGGCCTTTCGCAACTTAATCCTGGTGACTCCCATTGAGCGATATCCTGTTAAGTGGCCCCTGGGCGCATGAAAGCCCAGACGGACAGGCCCCAAGTGCAGGAGGCTTAACAGCCGTGGCTGTCCTCTGGTGACAGCCTGGCGTGTGTGCGGGACACGGAGCTGGACGGCTCTTTCACTCTCTGTGTGACCGGCAGCCTGGTGCTCAGTTTCCTCATCTGCATGGGCCGGCCTCCTCTGAGGCCCAGGACCCGACGTCTGGGATCCAGGAAGGCCTGAGTTCAAATCTCACCTCTGGCACTTAGTGCTGGGACATTAAAGAGTCAGACATTATGACTGGAGCTTCCATGGCCTTGGCAAGCTTTCCCCTCCCAATCCTCCTAGAACAGCCGGAGACGCGTCACACAGCTCTCATCGACACTCATCGACAGCATTGGAAATGAGGCCCAGGGCCCATGATGGCGGGTGGGGGATCCCTGCGAGCTGGCTGGCTTCCCACTGATCCTCATCAAAATGTCTGCCACGTTTGGGGGCCGCTCTTCGTGGCCAGGTGAGTGGGAACCCCCGCACAAGCACTTGGGAGGGACTTGGATGCCCCCGGAGCAGGGCTGAGTCCACAGGTCGATCGAGGCCTCGTGTAGGCAGAGGAGCCAAGTCGAAATGAGCAATGGCAGCGGCTGGCCAGTTAAGACCAATTAAGGTCCCCGGAGACCCCGGTGCTCATGGAAGTAAGACCCCATGGCCCCAGGAGCGCCGGCGCCAACCCGCCACAGCTCTGGGGTGGAAGGGTGCATGTGGTCCTGGGCAAAGCAGGGCGTGTCCGTCTCTGCAGCTGAATCCGCGCTGTGAGGGGCTGGTGACCAGCCCCCTAGGGGCCCTGGGTCTGGTGGGCCAGCACCCAGTTTTCTCAGCCAGAGCCCGTACATGGACCATCTCCAGGCACTAAGCGCAGAGCAGGGACGCGTGGCAGACACGTGGGGGAAACAGAGGGAAGGCAGCATTAGAAAGACGCCCTTCGGGCCAAGATGGAGGCGTGCATCTGGTAAGAACCACAGGGAGCCGGACAGGCCAAGCTCCCGGTTGTCTGTCTAAGGCCTCGGACGCGGAGATCTCCGAGCAGGCATAGTAGATGAAACCAGAAGCGGAGGCAGGAGCTTGAGCCCGTCGTTCCAAGCTAACACGCCAGGGGCCTTCCTGAGCCACCACCCCCACCCCCCAAGCACCCACGCCCTCGGGGCCGCAGGCCTGCAGGAGTGAGACGCTCTCTCTCCGTCACACCGGCCACGGCTCCTGGGAACGTCCACCACGGTCTGGGCTGCCCCACACGTCACCTTCTCTGGGTGTCCTGTCTTCACCTCTCTCTGTGCCTGCTGCTTCCCCCAACAGAATCTAAGCTCCCCGACCGCAGGCGCCTTGATTTCTAACTTTGTGCCCTGGAGGCACTTAGTAGGTGCTTAAGAGACCCCTGCAGAGACTCAAGTTGAATCAGGACCTCGCTCCCTCCTGTGCCTTCCTTAGCTACTTCTTCCCTGCAAGCTAAGATTCCTGGGCAACAATGCTGGGAAGGAACGTGTCCTCCAAAATCGAAGCTCGGCTCCCCTCTGGGGGCGGAATGCTGGCCCATCTTTCCTTCACTCACCCAGTCCACAATGAGGATCTTGTTCACATTCAGCCTCTGCTGGAGCAGCTTGGCAGCGATCGCCACAGAGTTAAAGTAGCAGAACCCCCTGGGAAAAGAAGCAGGAGAAAGGGAGAGAGAGCAGGGAGTCAGGCAGGGGACCCCCAGGAGGAGGAGGAGGATGTCAGAGTCAGGGCAACATGGTCACCACTACCAGCGTCCCGGGTGGCGCTGAGCCCTGGGCCAGGTGCCAGGCCCTGCCTCCCAAGCAGCCCCGGGGGGCACCTGCTTCAAAAGCTGAGGTTAAACCCTGAACTGGAACATGCAAACCAGCCCGCCCCGCCCTGTGTCCCTGTACGTGTGTCAGAGCTCCTCTTCCCAAAAAGGGAACATCGACATTGGTGAGAAGCTTCCCTCTCCCATCACCGAGCCTTTGCACGGGCTGGCCCCCATGCCTCACTTCCACTTCTTCCAGTTCCTTAGTTCCTTGAAGCAGCCCTTTCCTTGGAAAGCTTTTGCTGCTCCACCCCTCCTGACGCTGCCCCCAACACCCCTCCTTCTCCTCTGATAAGGTTTTCTTTATATACAAACAAGGGCATGTTGTCTTCCTGACAGAACAGAACCTCCCCCTCTACAGCCCGTTAGGACCACTGGGTCTGGGCTGGCCAGGCACAACCTGGGGGGGGGGTGTCATGGCCCGTTTCCTCCATGATCAATGCCAGCTTTGGGTCTAGGGAGTTCTGGGCCCCGTCCTGCTCTCCAGGGAGGACTCGAGGGGACATTAAGTCCCTCCTGGACCCCCCAACAACCCTGGGGGGCACGCCAGAGCATTTGCATCTCCCATGACCTGGGTAAGTGACTTGACTCAGGGTAGCAGCCAGGGAGGACCCGAGGCCAGAGAGGTCACTGGGCTTCCTCCCAGCCCCTCCTAGGAAGTGGCTAAAGCCGGGCCCACCGCCCCTTTCCTTCCTCTCTTAATTAGAGTCGTCTTTACTTGTGCCCCCAGACCCTCTCAGCACCTCGAGGACAGCTGGTCACCGAGGGGGAGGGGCTATCCCAATTCTGTTTTGGTGTTCTCAGCGCCCAGCAACATGCCAGCACACAGCAGGTGCTTAATAACTTCTAGTAGACTGAATCAAGCTGTTGTGCCGCTGTACAGAGGATGAGACCCTCTGCTGCAGACCTGGACCAGAACCTGGGAGATGGGTCTCCCCCCACAACTTCCCGGAGATACAAGAAGCAGGCTGTGGGGGAGGGGCAGGGAGAGGGAAGCGACCCCATTGTGCTTGGGCTGATTTCTCAAGCCCGGCCCAGTCCGCAGCAGGCATCCAGGCTGACTGCCCAGGTCAGCTCAAGAGATGCCACCGTGTCTGGGGTGGCAGGGGCATTAGGGGCCGTCTGCCCAGCCCCCTCACTTTCTGATTGGGATGCAGACGCCCAGGGAGGCGAGGTGATGTTGAGCGAGGGACAAGTGGGATTGGCACCCAGGGCCCCAGGCTTCTAATTCATTTCCAGCAGCATTTCAATGACCTTTTCCCATCTCACCTTGGCATTCCCTTTGTGTCTATTTCTGGGGGTCTCCTCTGACCTCTTAACTATTCCTTTCTAATTCTGTCCCCGTCTCTGCCCCCACCACCCACGACCAAGAGATCTCTACCTGTCCACCATCAGTGAGTGCAAGAGAACAGAGGAACTGCAGGGGAGCAGCGTGTGGTGCCCACCCTCTGAGGCTGGACCCAACATGGAGCCAAGGCCACCACAGCTGGAACTGGGACGGACGATGCCGGTACTCACATGGGGGTGCTCTCCTCTGCGTGGTGGCCGGGGGGCCGGACGACAGCAAAGCCATTCTGCAAACCAGAACAGAGCAGAGAGCCGTCAGAAGGGGGGACCCAGAGTGCCTACGTAACTAGTCTGGGTGTGGTTAGCGCCGAAGTCCCGCCTCGTCCAGGGGCTGATTACACTCACAAGAGTTCACCGGCCTCAGGCCAACATCAGCGGGATCCATGCTGTAGAGGCCTGGGCTCTTGGAAGGGTTTACGTGTGCATGCATGTGGGTGTCCATGCGTGCATGTGTGTGTACATGCGTGCATGTGTGTGAGTATGTAAGGGTATACACTGAATATGTATGTTTGTGTATGTAGGTGAGTGAATATGTGTATGTGTAAATGTCTGAGTGTGTATTCATGCATGTCTGTGAGTGAATACAGGCATGCATGAGTGAAAATGTAACTGTGCACATGTACAAATGTTGATATGTACATGCATGTGTATGCATATGTGTGAGTGAATATGTGCATGTGTGCGTCTATGTGTTCATACAGGTGCGTACGAATGTGTGTGAATGTGGCTGTGTAGGTGTGTGCATCGTGAGTATGTTTGTGTATGTGTGTGAGTGAATATGTGCATGCGAGCACATGTTTGCAGGTGTGTGCATGTGTGAATGAAAATATGTGTAAGTGTGCACGTATAAATGTTGATGTGTGTGCACATGTGTGTATGTAGATCAGGTGTGTACATATATGTGCATGTTTATGTTTCGTGCATGCGTGAGTGAAAACTTGCACGATAACATGCATATATGTTTGTGCATGTGTGCATTGTGTATGTGTTTGGGCATGCATGGGTGAATATGTGTATGTGTAGGTATGTGCATGTGAGTATGTATGTGTGTGTAGGTATGTGAGTGAATACATGCACGAGAACATGTATATATGTTTGTGCACACGTGTGCATGCATGAGCTGATGTGTGCACGCATGCGTGTGTAAATGTCTATGTGCATATGTGTGTTACACACGCATGTGGGCGTGAGTGTGGCTGGGGGATGGCAGAGCTTGCCCAAGTTGTTCTGGACCTTTCTGTTCCACCCAAACCACCTTTAAGCTGGAGCCCATTGGCAGAGAAGCCCACGTGCCCATGGGGACGGCCCCTTCTTTAACAAACGGCCCTCCCTGGCCTGTTTCTCTTTCTTGCCCAGAGACCTCGCTCCCTCAGAGGCCGCAGGGCGACCTGGGAGGGGCAGCTGAGGGGCCGGGAGCTCTCGGGGGAGAGGAGGCCCCCTCCCGCTCCGGCTCTGCCCTTTAGCTTCAGGCGGCCAAGAGGCCTTCCCCACCAGCACAGTTGGTTTCCATAGGTGAGACTCATTCCTTTGTCAGCTAGACTGCAAGCTCCCTGAGGGCAGAGACCTGCCTCACTTCTCTCAGTGGCACCAAACCTGGAAGGCGGGTCCTTGATCCGAGTGGAAGAATGGCTGGGTCCGGCGAGAAGGGGCACAGGCTGGACACAGGCCATGTGGCCAGAGTCAAGCATCCTCCCCACCCCTGGAGCTGAGGAAGCAGCCCGGCACTGCGGGACTGGGGAGCTGTCTACCCCTGCCCACGCTCCCACCAACCTTCAGCTCTCCGGTGGCCACCTTGAAGACCAGCTCCACCACGCAGCCCACAGCCAGGCGGGCAGCTCCGGAGGAATGCACCTCATTCCAGATGGTGTCACTGTCCACCTGCAGAGACAGAACACAGCAGGTCCTCAGGTGAATGCACCTCGGATGACCACCACCACATCACCGTAAGAAGCCGCAGCAGAAGCCGCCCCCTCCAAAAGCGTGCTCCTGCCTCCCCACCTGCTGAGGCCGACGTGGCCCCTCACCGGGGCCCCTCTGCCGGTGAGGTCCCCTCCAGGGCCCTGCATGTGACACGAGGCCGGGACTTGGGGGATGCCTGTATGACTGCATGCTGTCTCCCCAACAGAAGGGCCTTGAGGGCAGGGCTTGCTGTTGCTTTTCTTTGGACCCCCCCAAGTTGGCACCGTGCCTGACACACAGTAGGTGCTTAATAAATGTTTCCTGCCAGCCCAGCACTGGCCACCTTCTCCTTTCTCCCGCAGGGATTTGGCCCCGTGTCTTCATCCTACTCTTGGGTGCACGTCTTCTCTGTTCCCCCTAGCGTGGAGCAGCATGTCTTCTGACACGCATTCATAGAGCATCTCCTGTGTGCCGGGTTCTGGGCCCAGCCCTGGAGAGGCAAAGCCCAGAAGGAAATGGGCTCTGCCTTTGCGGAGTGTTCGCTCATCCTCAGATGCTCAAGAAATGCCTCCAGCGCCCATTCGCACTGACCCAGCCTGGCGCACAGTAGGTGCTTCATTGTGGCTGTCTTCTCTGCCCCCTCCCCTGTTCTTTGTACAGAGAGAGGCTTGCTGATTAGGAAGGGGGAGGGCTGCCGCTGGAAATAAAAGGGAGGGAAAAACAAAGGAGATGGATGATTTGAACAAAAAAGGAAAGAAGAAAACCAGGAAGAGACCATTTTTTTCTTTCCATTTGTTTTTCACTGGCATAAGGCCTTCTCCTAATGCAGACTGGTGCCCACTCAGAAGCCAAGAGTCTCTGACAGCGGCCCGATACTGATACCAGCCCAGGGTCACGAGGCTGGACACGGCAGAGTCTTGAACCCAAGCCTCCCTGATGCGGAGGCCCACACTCCAGCCATTGGGCCCGACCATCTCGCTAGGGCGTTGTCTATCTCTGTGCAGATGCCAACAGTACCCAAGTGCTTCTAACTCAAGGCCAAAGGCTCAAGGGGGCGGGAACGTCAGGAGTACTTCTTCCTGCAGAAATGCTGTTCTTGCCTCCGTGAGGGCCATGGTCAGAGGGTGCAGGCCTGGCCCTCGGGTCTTCCTGACAGCCTGACTGCTGGCCAGGCATGGACTGGATTCTGGAGGAGAGGGCACTCAGCAAACTCCCGATTTTCCAGCATCCAAGCTCACATCCATCCACATGCAATCCACCGAGGTAAGGTTTTCTTGCCAGGCTATCTCCTTGGCCAAGGGCCACTACATCATGTGTACCTGCAGACATCTCCAGGGCTTGCTTGTGGCCGCACTGGTAAATGCTGGTTGGCACAGAGGGAGAGAGGACCAGGGCTCTTTGGGAAAGAACCCTGAGGAAAGGCCAGAGCAGCAGAGGGGTCCACGGGAGAACAAGAGAAAACATGGCGGTCTCCTCTGACCCACAGGCAGGAGCAGAGACCTTGGGGCGGAGCTGGTGGTGTGTGGCGGCATGGGTCTGCCCGAAGGGAGCCCCAGGTGGACCATGAGTTCCGAGTCTCTCCTGGCACCACAGAGGCAGCCTCAGTGGGAGGCAGGGCTCACTCCCTCAGAGGGCTTCCACGTGTCCAAAGCGCACTCTGTTCAAGGAGGTTGAGTGAGAGCACTGAAGGCTGCCATGACCACAGGAGCACTAGCCTTTGTGGCCCGGGGTTCACTCTCTAACCAAGGGGCCTTCCCCTCCGTTGTGATGCGCAGTCCGGACCGAGAGGAGGAAGGGTCACTCTCACTGAGGCTCCAGACGGCCCAGAGGAATCACCTAGCTGGGGACGTGCCACCCAGTGTGGGGCAAGTGTGGGAGGTGCTGGCAGCCGAGGTGGGGGTGCTGCTCGGGCCAGGCCCCTCATTTGGTACAGAAGGACCAGGCCTAGATGATTAACCCAGGTAACACTGCTGGCAAGCAGAGTGGCTACAATTCAAACCCAGGGCCTCTGAATCCCAAGCAGTCTGTCTCTAGACTTTCACCGGAGACGAAGCCCAGTGCCTGACCCTTGGAGGAAAACATGCGTACGCACAGAGTTACATGCATACACAACCACACACGTATACATACTCATGCACACACATCCAGACACCCATGCACACAGCCACGCTCACAATATACATGCACACACACAGATACATATACACACACACAGATGCCCCCACATCCCTATACATACACCCACACTCACATACACGCACACATTCATACTGACGCACTCACACACGCACCCATCCATATACGTACACCCATACCCACACGTGTGCACACGCCACACTTACAACACAGACAACACCCATACACACCCAGTCACACACATTTGTACTCATACATATGCGCGCACACACACGCACACACACAGAGCCACCTCACACCTGGGAATCCCCAGGACCCACAAACATTAACACTGGCTCTGGGAGTAGGGGGAGGAGCGGCCAGGATAATGACCGCCAAGACTGCTGGAGCCCAGGCCGGGCTCAGGCCGCTTCACGACTTGCCCAACGCTCCCTCCACTAGGATCTCCCTGGTGATGTTCAGATGGAGGCCCAGGGGTGTGGCTGCTGAGTCTTGGGGGCGCTGTGGCAGGTGAGCCCCTGCCTCCCGATATCAGACAAAAATCTCTGTTGGCGCTCGGCACGGGGCCCGCGGTCAGTGCCTGCCATCGTTGGCTCTTCTGTCCAGTGCTTGGTCCCCTGTGCCATCCAGCTCCCACCATCAAAAAGAGCCTCATTTGGGGGCTGAGGCCATGGGTTCGAATCCCACCCATGTGACTTGGCGCTCCATTTCCCTGGGCCTCAGTTTCTTACTCTAAAATGGGCGGCTTGACCTTGACGGTCCTCAAGGTCCCTCCCAGCCCCAAACCTGTGATTCTGTGATCTGTGAATCCCATCACAAGACCTGCAGCTGATGGCCAGCTCTGCCCACGTGGCCTCAAGAAAGCCACTTCACTTCCCCAAGCCTCCGTTTTCTCATCTGTAAAATGGGACACCCTCTGCTCTTTCTCTGTAGGAAGGAGCCGGGTGTCAAGTACCCAGGTACGGAGAGAGTACAGAATCCCTCTGGCACAGACTGGCCGTGGGATCCTGGTGCCTCCCTCAACCTCTGGGCGACTGCAGGGAAGGTGCTGACCTGCAGTGGTGGAGGTATGCTCCTCACCTGGGAGTTCCTTGGACCCTGGACGGTGCTGGTCCAGACTTGGTCCTCCATCTCTTCCTGCTACTGTTTCATAAAAGGCCTGAGTTCCAGACCCACCTCTGACCCACATTACATGCGAACTGTGGTCACAGAACCATGAGTCTCTCATTGCTCTGGGCCATTGTCAAGAAATGCAAACCTGCCCTGGTGGAGAGACTTCCCATGGGAGTTCCTGACGGTCCCTACCCCTGAACGTTTATTACTGCTGTGACTGACATCAATATAGAGGGTCCCATGTGCAGCACTGAAGGCATTTAAAAGCTAAACCACCACCAAGACCCCCAAATGCCCATTCGGAAAAGTGGTCTTCTGATTCCTGCCCTGTTGTTATAGATCTGGCCCCTGTGCCTTGGTTTACCTGCTGTACCCCTTACTGACACTCAGTTTTCATTTGCAAATTGGACGTGTGGCTTTGCATGTTCCCTTCCCACCCGTAGCATAGATGCAAACCTTTTCAGGTCTGGCCAGAAATGCCCTGAAGTAAGAGGCTGCAGCTGCACATCCAGGGACCCAGCCATCCCCCGCTCCTCTGGGTGCTTGGTGGCAGAATGAGGGACGGCCATTTGGGCTCTTTTTGATGGGGTAATTTTCAAAGCAGCGATTTTGTCAAGGCTCAGGAAGAAAACAATTTTGTCTCATTTCCCTAAAACAATCCAGACGTGTGGCTGCAGCCTCCCCATCTATAATTACGCCTCCCGCTCCCACCCCGCGAGCTCTGCTGCACAATGTGTCTTCTCGTTGGCGCACGTGGACCAGGGCAGCTGCCCTTTCCAGGAGGAAGGCGGGGAAGGTCCCCCAGTAGGCGAAGACGAGGTGAGGTGGGGGACCGTCCAGGGTGCTGACGATGGCTGGAGGGATGGATGGATGGATGTGGGCTGGGGGGACAGTCCAGGGCAGACTCAGACCGTGACGCTGGCGCTGACGTACGGATGGATATATGCACATGAGGTGGGGGGACAGTCCAGGGCAGACTCAGAATGTGATGCTGGCGATGACAATGGTTGGAGGGATGGATGGATGGATGGATGTGGGCTGGGGGGACAGTCCAGGGCAGACTCAGACTGTGATGCTGGCGCTGATGTACGGATGGATGGATGGATGTGAGGTGGGGGGGAGGCTGTCCAGCCAGACTCAGACCGTGATGCTGGTGCTGATGCATGGACAGATGAACATGAGGTGGGGGACCGTCCAGCCAGAACTCAGACTGTGATGCTGGCGCTGATGCATGGACAGATGGACGTGAGGTGGGGATCGTCCAGCCAGAACTCAGACCGTGATGCTGGTGCTGATGCATGGATGGATGGACGTGAGGTGGGGGGGAGGCTGTCTAGCCAGAACTCAGACCGTGATGCTGGCGCTGATGTATGGATGGATGGACGTGAGGTGGGGGGGAGGCCGTCCAGCCAGAACTCAGACTGTGATGCTGGTGCTGATGCATGGATGGATGGACGTGAGGTGGGGGGGTGGCTGTCCAGCCAGAACTCAGACCGTGATGCTGGCGCTGATGCATGGACGGTTGGACGTGAGGTGGGGGACTGTCCAGCCAGAACTCAGACCGTGATGCTGGTGCTGATGCATGGATGGATGGACGTGAGGTAGGGGGGAGGCTGTCCAGCCAGAACTCAGACCGTGATGCTGGCGCTGATGTATGGATGGATGGACGTTAGGTGGGGGGGGAGGCCGTCCAGCCAGAACTCAGACCGTGATGCTGGTGCTGATGCATGGATGGATAGACGTAGGCACTGGGAACTGCTTTTTTGTTTTCACACCATCACCCCCACGCCCAGCCCCAAGCTGCTTACGGAGCTTCCCGGATTTGCCGCTGAGACACTCCCCCCATTCTGCTTTCAGGACATGGCAGGGTCCACAGATGCCACTGTATGTGAAATACTCGTCACCTGTCATTGAATCAGTCAATACTCCTGTGGCAAGGGGGACAGAGAGCCTGCCCTAGCGTCACAAAGGCCTACTTCTGACCCGACCTGGCTGTGTGAGCCGGGGCCACCCTTAGGCTACTCTCTCAGGTAAGAAATCATGCCTCCACGGGTAGAGCATTCACCCTGGAAGCTCCTCGTGCTAATGAAAGCAATCCATCAGCCGGCCTTCACTGAGCCCCTACTACGTGCAGGAGCTGCGTCAGGGGTGGGCTACGAGGGGAAGGAAGCCCCTGCTGCTCAAAGGCGCGGGGAGCCCACCCCTCCCTCGCTGGGCCAGCCCCCACTGGGGGGGAACATCTGGCAGCCATTCGCCCTCCCCAGAGGAGGCCGCCACCGGCCGAGAGAACAAGCAGGGCATTCTTGAGACATCAAAGAAAACACTTACGCCAACGCCGCCACAAGGGAGCCTGACGAACATGGACGTTAAGGAACCTGCGGGAAACAAGAGGAGCCAGTGAGCGGCAGGTCGAGGGGCCTCCCCACCCCCGTGAGGAGCCGCGAGCCCACTCGGGCCCGCAGCGGGAGACTGGGCAGGCCGGGGGAGGGGCTCTAGGACCCGTGTCGGGGCGGGTTCCTGGCCAGGGACGGTCATGGTCCGTCAGCGGGCAGAGCCCTTTGTCCATCTGCGGCCGCATCCTTCCGCCACCTTCCTTTCTGAAGGACCTGTCCTGGGAGCTGCTGCACCTCTGGTCCAACCAGACCCTGACCACGCTGCCCTTAACCATGGTGGGTCCTGCCCCATGAGCCCGACGCCTCTCTGGGCAGCGGGCCTCTCAGCTCACTAATATGAAGGCCCATTGGGAGACGCCTTCTGCCAGGGCGGGAGTGACGGCCCCTGCAGGAAGGCCCATCTGTCTGGATGCTCTACCCACCCAGACAAGGAGTGACCAGAAATAGGAAAAATAAGGCTTTTGTCTGAAATGAAGACAGATGTGAAAAGCAGCGTCTCCCAGCCCAGCCACAGGACGACGGAGTCGGGCTGTCGAGGGGAGGGCCTGGCTGGAGGGCCGAGGCTGTGGCCGGCCTCCCCTGACTGTGGGCCCACTGACCCACAGGGCCACCTGCCCCTGGCTTGGCGGCACCAAACACATTCAGGGAAGGAAGTGCCATCCATCTGGACCCAGACAGACGGGCAGACCGGCCCCGAGACATACAACTCATTCACAAGCTTGTGGGAAAGACTTCCCTGGTCAGTCAGTGAGCATTTGTGAAGTCCTTCCCATGGGCCAGGCAGGGGAACCTTCCCGGAATGCCGAGAACCCTTGGGCACCTAGAACCCCAGGTCAGTGGTCCCCCACATTTAATGCCTGCTACATGCAAACTGAAAACAAGCCAAAGGAAATTGGGGGACAGGTCGGGGGGAGAGGCAGAGGAAGAAGAAGAAAACTCGTCACTATCATCACTGCTAGCCTTCACACCATGTTTTAGGTCTACCGAGGGCTTCCCAAACACAACCTCATCTGATCCTCACAACCCCCGGGGACAGGGGGCAGGAGGGGGCCAGTTATTATTATCCTCATTTTGCAGATGAGGAAATCCATGGCCCAACAGCTAGGAAGTGTCTGTGTCAGAATTTGAACTCAGATCTTCCTGACTCTGAGCCCAGGGCTCTGTGCCCAATGGCGCCCCTTGCCACCAACCTAGCACTGTGTGTGAAGTGTGAGGGAGGGCAGGATCCAGCTCCTGGACCCTTGGGTGCCTCCAGAGCACCAGGACCAAGGGCTGCAGCCCCTTTACTCCAGGGAAGAGCTCCCCAGGGCTCTTCTGTGGGACCCAGGCCGGCAAAAGGAGGGAGGACGCTGGCTGCATCTACCAGTGGGACCTGCGCTGCCCGGGACACGGCGGCCTCTGGGGTCCTCTGCTGTCTTGGTCACTGTCCTCCGGATTTGGCTGTGGGCCTGCTCCAGGGGCAGTGGGGGACGATGGGAAGTGTCTGGGTTAAACTGAGCCTTACCCGGGTGACCCTGGGCTGCTGTTATCCCTCCCTCTGGGTCTCAGAGGGGCTCGGTGACCCTCCTGGCCTAGGCTGGGCTCCCAGGACCCTGGTCTGGGGCAGGACCACAGGCTCCCCTGGCTTCCAGGTCTTCCTGCGCCTGGCACAGTACCTGATGCACAGCAGGCATTTAATGGGTGCTTATTAACCCACTGACCCAGGCAGTGGGCTAGGCTGTTCCGCCTCTCAGTGACACGGTCATCGTTATTAACAGCAGAGAGGCGGCAAGAACAGGAAGGTCTCCAATCCAGCAAGCACTGGGTTTCCTTCCTGCATGACACCTCCTGACAGTGTGATCCTGGGTGAGTCACTTCCCTCCTGAGTACCCCAGGCCACCCCCTAAGGCTCTGAGCTGGGGGAGGGCGGCTCCTCACTGGGCAGCGCCCGCTCGGGGAAAGCGGAGATACCAAGGTTCCAGCCTCCCTGCCCAGCATCAAACAATTCAGTAGTTCAGTGGCTGGAAACATTTCACAGATTCTGCTGAATATGAAAGCAGCTGACCAGGAAAGGCAAACAGTGGTGGTGATAATGATGATAATGGGAGGAAGAGGAGTGGGAAGGGGAGGGGAGGGGGAGGAGGGAGGGAGAAGGAGAGGGAGAGGAGGAGAAGAGGGAGGGAGAGGAGGGGAGGGAAGCAGGGAAGGAGAAGGAAGGGGAGGACGGAGGGAGAGGAGGGAGGGAAGCAGGGCACATCCGTCACAGCCCTTTACAAGCATCAGTGGTGGCAGAGGCAGAGTTTTCTGCTGTAGCCACAGCCTCTCCAAAGCTGACAGAGGGAGAGCGGCCCAGGGCGCTGGAGTCGTCCCCCAGGCAGGCCCGAACAGAAGGAGGACAGCAGCAGTTTCTGGGAGCACCTCGCGGGTGCTGCTGACTTCAATGAATTTCAGATAATTTGGCTCATTCATTCTCTGCCCAGCAAAGATCATGACTAAATAATGCTGGAAGCTGGACCAATGCTTTCACTGGGGCACTAGAACCCAAGAGATGAGTTTAGGGGGTACAGCAGATAGGACAAAGGCCTTGGAGGCAGGAAGTCTCGAGTTCGAATCTTATCTCAGAGACTTACAGTGTGACCCTGGGCAGGTTACTTAACCTCTGTCTGCCTCAGTTTCTACCTGTAAAATGGGTACAGCAGCAGTTCCCTCATAGGGCAGCTGTTGCGAGGACCACATGAGGTAACCCATGGAAGGTGCGCTGTGAACGTCACAACGTTCCGTCCATCCTAGCTGCTCCTTCTTACTATTTGTGCACGCTCACTCTGAAGGCCTGCACCTGATTACCCTCTCGGAGGTGCCATCAGGAGCTCCAGACTGCTCCCACCTGGCACTCGGTGGGCCGCACCAGGGTCTGAGCCTCGCCCCTGCCCCCATTCATGGGGCCCAGTGCCCAGATGCCCTGACTCCGGGTTCATTCTTTAACCAGCTGGCAGTTCAGCAGACAGAGTGCTGGGCCAGAGTCAGGAGGAGCTGTGTGACCCTCAGTCTGCCTCAGTTTCCTTCAGTATAAAATGGGAACACTGACAGCCTCTACCTCCCAGGGCTGCGACGCTCAAGTGAGTGGCTCGGTAAAGTGCTTAGCGCAGCGCCTGGCACACAGCAGGCACTAGATAATGGCAGCTGTCATGCCTGTGGTCCTTGTCCCTTGTTTACACAGACAACCCAAACCTTATCATGAGCAAGCCTCTTTCGAAAACAGTTATAAGAACCTCTCCCCCAACCGGGAAAAACAAGATCTAAGAGAGAACGGCAGGCAGCCCCAAGCCTGAGCTGGGTTGGGAGGATAGATATGGGGGTGGGGGGGCAGAGGGGGAGGCAGGATGATGGGAGGCCCTGGTGGGAGAAGGGGCTGCAGGGCCCCCCTCCCTCCCTCATTCCTCGGGGTCAGCGACAGGGAGCTCATTCCTGCTCAGGGCCTCCTACACTGGACCCGCCCTCGTGGCTCAGGCCCAAGCCAATGGTGACCCGGCTTCCTCCAGTCCGCCTAAAGAACGGGCAGTCTGTCCAGAGGCGAGCAGCTTCACAGCCCTGCCTCGTGGGACCCGCGGGCATAAGCGAGCGCAATGTTGGAGCTGCCCAGGGATGAGCATCCTGCAATAAATACCTAGAAGTTTCTTACTGTCCAATTTCTGTCTGTTCAGGGGGTTGGTGCCGTACAGCAGGGCGTGGGCCTCCGAGTGGACTGTCTGCAGCTCCTCCAGCGTGGCCTTCCGTCCCCGAATGCACTGGAAAGGAGCAGAAAGGGGGAGGGGGAAGACCTTGAGCACTGTCCGCTAACAGAAGCCCACCCATAACCCGGGAATGAGCAAGCCCCAGGGCCATGGCTCTCCCGTCTCAGCTAACTTCTCATGACAGACCACCGTCAAAGCTCGATGACTCGGGCCATCATTAGATGCCCCAAAGCTCGCTTGGTGTAGACCTCCCAGGCCCACAGGGGCTCCAGGAGGAATTCCCCCGAGGGTTCCGGACCCTGCTATGTGTCAGGGCTGAGTGACTTGCTCACGGCCACCCACAGCCCTGTCTGGCATTCCAGCGCAGGCAAAGGGCCATCTTCCCCCTGCACCCACATACAGCTGCTTTCCTCTCCTGGAAGGCACAGAAGGACCGTGAACCTTGGAGCTAACTGGAAACCAGCTTTAGCTCACAGTCTGTCTGTGTGTCCAGAACTTCGCAGCATCAGCTTTTCCCAGGGGAGATTCCAGAAAGAAGCTGAGCCCTGCTTGCTTCTGGCTGACCCAGAAGTAACCGGCCCCCTGCTCCTCCCACACGCGAGCCGTTTGTTCTCAGATGTCATTCACCAAAGGGGCGCCCGACGGGACACAGACCCTGGAGAAAACGAGGCCTCCCCATTGTGGGCAGAGAAATCCACGGGGCCCTAATGAGGTTGTTCCTGGTGTGGGCCTGGGCATCTAAAGGCCACGCACCCACTATGCCTCCCTGGCACCGGTGGCCTCTCTCTGTGTGGGAATTCCAATTCCACAATGCGGAGAACTGGGGAGCAGCCCAGCCGACCATGGCAGGACACATGGGAGCACTGGCTCTTCACTGGTGGTGGCGGTGGTCAGTTGTTTCAGTAGGGTTGGACTCTCCATGAACTCATCTGAGGTTTTCTTGGCAGAGATATTGGGGTGGTCTGCCATGTCCTTCTCTAGCTTGTTTTACAGAAGAGGAAACTGAGGCAAACAGGGCGAAGTGACTTTCCCAGGGTCGCACAGCTGGTAAGTGTCTGAGGCTAGATTTGAACTCACAAAGGGGTATCTTTCTGAATCCAGGCCCAGTGCTCTAACCATTGGGCAACCTAGCCGCCCACCACTGACACTCCTAGCATGACCAGAGGCATGAAACCAGGGAGATGGCCTGTTTGGCTTCTGAGGTCCCCCTAGATTTGTGATACTGGGATCCCTCTCTGGGTCTCAGTTTCCTCATCTGTAAAATGAGAAAGCTTGTCTCAAAGGCCTCTGAGGTTCCCCTCACCTCAAGCTCTAGATCCATGAACCCAGAAGCCCATGTACGGCACAGATTCTCTCAGACTGATGTGGGGCCCCAAAGGGTTGCGGCAGTGCTGGTGGGTACAGGGAACTGTCTGCACGTGAGGAAGGCAGACAGGAGACGAGTGTCACGACCAACGCTGGAGTCACGGGTTCTTTTCCCCAGCAGGGGTGAGAAAGCGGGCGCGAAGTCAGAAGGCCTGGGTCCGAATGCCAGTGTGGGTCACTTGCAGCCTCCTGACATCTGCCACACGCTCCGTAAGATGAGGACTGTGTCCAGGCCCAAGCCTGGGCTCCTTGAGGCCTGGGCTGCAGATGTGTGCACTGCTCCCAAAAGGACAACAGAAAAAGGGAATCTAAAACGCTGCTGTCTGCCTCTGAAGGCTGACTACTCCTCATGCCCTGGGGTGCTCAGGAAGGCAGAGGCCATGCGCTGGGAGCCTGATGCCACCCCTGGGAAGGGAAGGACAAGCAGCGTGGGGAGCGAGGGGGAGACTCGGTGCCGGCCCCCAAGGAGGCCATGGTGAGTCACCGGGAGCCGACGTCCAGCTAGGGCTGCCCCTAGCACCAAACACGCATAGAGGGACCAGGGCAGACAGGCCTGAACTGAGCTCTGAGGGGAGGACACCTCTGCCTCGGGGAAGCGGTTAGCTTGGATCTGGATTCTGTTCAATGGCAGAGAAGCTCGCATTTGTCCCAAGCGGCCAAGGCTGAGTGGACAATGAACTGTTCCAGATGGAAGGGACCTCAGAGGTCACTTGCCCTGACCCCTTATCTTACAGAGGAGGAAACTTAGGCGCCGAGTGAAAGTCCTAGAGGTGGGAGGATATGTTAGCGGTAGGATGCGAACCCAGGGCTCCTGACGCCAAACTGGGAGTGTTCTCTGCCTTCAAACTAGAGGCGATTGAATCCACTTCAGCCATTGGCCAAGGCCTGAGGCGTGGGGCCGGGTACCATCCCTGCACTCTCAAACGGGCCGAGGAGAGATTTCAAATGGAATTAGCGTCAGTGAAGGAACGCTATTCAAAGATGAAATTGGAAATGATCTGGAGTTATTCAGGCTTAAACAGAAAGTGGTGACTGGGTCTCTCTCCCTGTGCCGAGCGTGGAGGCGAGGCGGTGGCCATCTGCTTACGATTTCTGGTCTCTACTGAACCACGGACGCCAATCAGCATGAGCCTCTGAGAGCTGACTGACTTCCAAGAAGGGGGTGCTGAGGGTCACCTCCTGATGGGCCTCCAGCGTGAGGAGGAGCTGACCAGCAGAGGAGGATTCTGGGAATGCTCAGAAGAGCTCGGGCCAAAAGGCGCTCATTCAGTCCTCCAGCAAGGCCAGGGGCTGGGAAATCCCTTGCTGCAGAACTGCTGTGGAATGCCCTGTCTGCAGCACTGGGCCGCGCCTCCCATGGCTGGCTATCTGCAGGTGTGCATGCCCCGCCTTCTCCACTTAGCCTCACTCCCCAGTCACTTCCACATTAGCCCTCGCTGTATCCCCAAAGAGAAAAGGCCCGACGAAGGTAAGCTTGGATGAAGCCAGGGAGCGGCTCGTGAAGCTGGGAGCGAGTGACTCCTGTGCATGCAGTACCCTGGTAGGCACGAGAGAAAAACTAGGGCTTCACAGCTGCTCAGGAAATGAGACACGGGAGGGCAGTGGGCCAGGTGCATGAGTGGTGCTTCCTTTGTGGGGGAGGTGAGAAGACAAAGCCTGACCTGGGGTTCTCTGAGCACAGCAAACTCCTAGCACAGAAGCTCCCTTCACCACTGCAGACTGATTGGCAGCTCATCTCTAATTCACAGTCTCAGACAGCTGTCCTACTTACGTAGAACAGCGGACAGAATGCTCGACTCAGACCTAGGAAAAGCGAGTTTGAATCCTGCCTTAGGCACTTACTGTGTGACTCTGGGCGAGCCGCTTCTCCCCTCAGAGCCTCAGTTTCCCCATATGTAAAATGGGGACAACAATGGCTCCTTCCCCGCAGGGTTGGTGTGAGAACCAAATGACAATGTACACACCACGGCATCCCCGTTACGACTGTCGTCATTATTTTCATCACCATCACCCTATGGCCGAAGTGGGGTCTTCCCCACACCAACAGTGGCCATTCGCTGGCAGCTCTGTCCCACTGGGAACCAAGCTGGCCTTCACGATTCAAGTCAATTCCACCCCAGACCCACTTATCTGCTGAGCGCCTACCACACACCAGGCTCCACGGGAGGGCCAGGGGACACAGGAAGAAACGTAGGCCAAAGGAGCATAAATGGTGCTTGCTGTGGGAAAGGCCAGGGCAGGAGGCCAAGTCCCTGACCCTGGGAGGTGAGGCCTCCCTGGGCCTCGACCCCACGATGCACGCTTTGGTGCCATCTGAGCGGACAAGGCTGAGAGGCGCTCGATTCCTCTACATTCCTCCTGCATCTCCCCGGGATCAGCGGATTGGCCGTAGCCCCCTGTCTTCCCAAAGGCCCCCCACTCATCTCACTCTTGCTTCAGCCCTGCTCCTCTCTGCGTGCGTGACCTACGGCAAGTCCCTTCCACGCTAGGCTCAGGACCTCAGTTTTCTTCTCTGTAAAATCTGGGTGGGACTAGAAGGTCTAAAGCAACAGTGTCAAACCCAAGCAGAAGCTGCCCAGTCACATTCGAGTCTAAGCTCCCGGGGCGCGGGCCTCGTCTCACTTTGTTTTCTATCTCTCTGTATCCAGCAGCCAGCGCAGTGGGCACTTAATCGATGCCTGTGGATTGACAAAGTTCATCCTCGTTCAAAGTTATGACCCTTGGATGCCCCCCGGCCTCAGTTTCCTCACATGTAAAATGGAGTTTGATGGCTGCTGAGGGCCCTGCCAGTCCTCGACCCACGAGGCTGTCTAGGGCCTCCCCTGGCCCGGCGTCTCACGCGTGTCCCTCTCTCTCCTTCCTCCAGATGAGTCAGAGATGGAGGGGCCCTGGGGGTCAATGAGGTCACTCCCTGCACGTCGGGCCCAGGACAGTTAAGGACTCGGACATAGATCATCAAGGACTGGCCAACTCCACCTCCTCCTTTTACAGATGAGGAAACTGAGGCACAGAGAAGGCAGTGCCCAGGGCAGGGTGTGAACTGGCTCTCCATCCCCCCCCCCACCCCGGTCTTCAGGAAGGCCTGGGAACCACCGGGCCAAAGCCGGTCAGCGGTGTCCCTCATTCTAACACCTGGAGCTGAAGACAGATGGGGGAGGGGCAGGGAAAAGAGCTCTGTAGAGGGAGGCCCGCAACAGGCCCTGAGGACAGGCAGCAGGGAGAAGCCCGGGCCCGGCCAATGCTGCCCTCCAGTGGTCACTCGTGGCCCATCTGTAAAGCGAGGCTCCCCCCTGAGAGCCTTCACCCAGACCCCTCCGAGGCAGGCCAATGGCATGGGAGAGGACAGAGTGGGACGCGGCTAACCCGACTCCCAGCATCCTCCCCCCCCAAAAAAATCTTAAAGACAATTTCAAACAGCCACAGAGCCCAATTCCTTTGGGAAACAGACAAGAAGCCCCCACTGTCCTGCACTCTCCTTGGAGCGGCAGGACTGATAGGGGACGGGGGCCATCCTCGATTGTCTGATGGGCCGGGTAGGGGTGGGGACACAAAGCATCCCAGACTGTCCGATATGTGTGTGCGCGTGTGTGTGTGTGTGTGTGTGTGTGTCTGAGAGTGAGAGAGTTTGTGTGTGAGAGTGTGTGTGTGAGAGAAAGAGAGTGTATGTGTGTGAAAGAGTGTGTGTGTGTGTGTGTGTGTGACAGAAAGAGAGAGTGTGTGTGTGAGAGAAAGAGAGTGTCTGTGTGTGTGAGACAGAAAGAATGAGTGTGTGTGTGTGTGAGAGAGAAAGAGACAGTGTATGTGTGTGAGAGAAAGAGAGAGTAGAGTGTGTGTGTGTGTGAGAGAAAGAGAGTGAGGGTGTGTGTGTGAGAGAGTGTGTGAGAGAGAGTGTGTATGTGAGTGTGTGTGAGTGAGTTTGTGTGTGAGAGAGTGTGTGTGAGTGTGTGTGAGAGAGAAAGAGAGAGAGTGTGTGTATGAGAGTGAGAGTTTGTGTGCGAGAGAGAGTGCATGTGTGTGTGTGACAGAGTGTGTGAGAGAGAGAAAGAGTGTGTGTGTGAGAGAAAGAGAGTGTCTGTGTGTGTGTGTGAGTGTGTGTGTGAGAAAGAGACAGACAGTGTATGTGTGTGAGAGAAAGAGAGAAAGAGAGTGTGTGTGTGAGAGACTGTGAGAAAGAGAGTGAGTGTGAGTGTGTGTGTGAGAGAAAGAGTGTGTGTGAGAGAAAGACAGAGTGTGAGTGTGTGTGTGAGAGTGTGTGTGAGACAGAGAGAAAGTGAGAGACAGAGAAAGAGACAAAGATAGATAAAGAGAGAGATAGAGACAGTATGTGTATATGAGTATGTGTGTGTGTGTGAGAGAGAGAGAGAGAGAGAGAGAGAGAGAGAGAGAGAGAGAGAAAGAGAGAGAGAGACAGAGAGACAGAGACAGAGAGAGACGGAGACAAAGACAGATAGAGACAGAGAGACAGACAGACGAGAGACAGAGAGAGAGAGAGAATGAGCATGCTGGGAGGAGCATCCCAGACTGTCCAGACTGTCCAACTTTGTTCACTTGGTTTTACTAAACTTTTTTTCTTTCCTCCTCATTCTAGGGAGCGATTCGCTGGAAGGCACACACTGGGAAATGCAGGTGATAACTGAAGCAACAGATGAAAAAGCTGAATTTTTAAAATTAAAAAGTGGGAGGTGTATGCTGGGTAAAGAGCCGGGTGCTGAAGCCAGGGTGATCTTGGTTCAAGGTCTACCACCACACACAATACCTGCGTGACCCTGGTCAAGTCACTGCCTCTTTAGGCAGCCCAGACTGCCAGCCTCAGTTTCCAGAATGGGAATTCCCCACCCTGATGACATCACCAGTCTGGGCTACTTCATCCCTCCTCCCCAGTCACCCCTCAAACAAGGTCACCCCTATCTGGAAGGGTTTTAGAGATCATTAGTCCAACTCCATTGTTTCACAAATCAAGAAATGACTTGTCCAAGGTCACACATGTGACTTTGAATCTTCCTCCTTCCACACTCCCCCCAGAGCCAATCAGCTTCCCAGAAGCACGGCTGAACTAGAACGCAGACCCTCTGACACCAAACTGAAGGCTTTTCACATTCCAGGCCCTTGGTCTATTCTGCTGTCCCTCCCCCCTTGTCTGGGGTGGGCGGGGACACAGGAAAAGGAATTCAGCTGAAAAGGTGCTGAGACCTCCTGGTGAATTGGTCAGTCCTCTCCGCGCCTGACTCCAAAGAAGGCTGCGGCCCTGAGATACGGACTAGGGAGGAAGGCGGGAAGGAAGGAGGTCAACTAATTCAAGTACCTCATTTTACAGATGAGGAAACTGAGGCCCAGAGAATTTAAGCAATTTCCCAAAGGTCACAAAGTCCGTTTGTAGCAGGGGCAGGATTTGAACCCAGACCCTCTGACTCCAAAATCTCTAGCTTTTTAGCATTTCACTATTTACAAAAGACCAAGTGCTCCGTTGGGCATTTACAGCCCCCTTTACAAACCTGTTCTATTCAAGTCCCCTTCCCTCACCTCACAGTCCAGCCAAAGTGGACTTCTTCCTGGTCCTCACCTGTGACACGCCATCTCCTGTCTCCATGTCTTTGCTCTGGCTGTCCCTCATGCCTGGCATGCCATCCCTCCTCACCTCCGCTCTCTTGAAGGGCCAGCTCAGGGGCCGGCTCTCACAGGAGGCCTCTCCCAATGCCCCTCCCCGCAAAGCCATGGCTTTGTGCTTTGTACGGACTGGTTACTGTTTGTGTTGTTTCTCTGCACAGAATGTAAGCTCAGGGAGGGTGGGAACTGCTTTGTTCCGGGGCTCGGCACCAAGCAGGCAGGTAATAAAGGCCCAATGAACTGATCTAGATAATAACCGTCATTGTCCGTGCCGGCAAGCAGCCAAGGCGGAAGTCACAGACAGACAGACGTCCGTGAGGCACGACATTTCGGCCCTACCAGGGGAAAGCAAGCAGAGGCTGAGGGACTCGGGCCGGCTGAGGCGCTGGCGGGAAGCACCGGATGTGGACGGCCAGCCACGTCCGGAACACAGCTGGCGGGGAAGGGGATCCCAGCAGCCCCTGCCTCGGGAGGTCCACGCCGGCCTCAGGGCCAGGCCGGTTCCTGACCCTTCTCTCTGGGGCGCCCAATCTCCCCCCCACCTTCCCGCCTCTCCGCTCTCGGTACCTCGCACTTGCCACGCAGGCCGGTCTCCTGCAGCCGGGACCAGATGCTCTGGATGCGGCCAGCATGCTCAGGGTGGCTGTTAGTGTTTCCACAGGTGCACTGGTGTTTGAGCATCAGGGTGTCGTACACAAGGCCTGTGGGGGGGGGTCACAGACGGGGTCACGGTCAGCGAGGCTGGTGACAGACAAGCCCCTGAGGCCACCAGCCCCCAGCCCGGCCCACCCAGCGTCCCTCTGTCCCGACTCGCTGTTCAATTTGTGTGATTTGTCCTTCGGGATCCCCAGAGACAGCTCGATGCCTGCCCACAGGAGGAATCAAATTCAGGTGAAGGGAGAGAAGGAAGGAGAAAAGGGAGGCAAGAAGGAAGGAAACCAGGAAAGAGAGCAGGAAGGGGAGGAAGGAGAGGAGTGGGGGACAAGGGAGGATCGCATTTACACACCTGCTAGCCTGAAATGGTGAGGCCCCCGTGAGCTGTCCCCCTCCTGCACAGCCTCTGAGGGACCCAGGTCACGGCCACCTCAGGGGAATATACACTGCCCAGGAGGGGTGGCCACCATGGAGAAACTCTAGACAAGGTGTCACGGGAACCGGGTGTGAATCCCACCAAAACCATGGACACCTCATACAAACTTCTCACAACACACTCAGCTAGGACAGGCCCCGGCCTCAGGGAGCTGACCTTCTAAGGGGGACAACTCATACCCGGATAGGCTGGGGATGGTGGGCAGAGACCTGAAGGACCTCGAGGACCCTAAGAGACAGCTGGAGGCACAGCAGGCAGCACATGCAAAGGACTGGAGGGCTGAGAGATGTGGGTAAGAGGGGAGGGCACGGGCGGTGTGGTGGGCCAGGCTCCCACCACGCCCCCCCAGGGCATCTCAGAGGCTTTGGCTGAGGGCAGGACCTCGGCTCCCCACGATGCCACCGGCCTCAATCCTGGGCCTCTCCTCAAAGAAACTCGCTCCAAACATGATGGCAGGGCAGCTGGCAGGGGCCTTCCAGGCTTTTGGATCCAACCCCCCTCTACAGATGAGGAGACTGAGGAGGCCGAGACATGTAATGGGCTTGCTCAAAGTCGGGGCAGACAGGAGACGCCATGCCCCCGTGCTGTTCGCCACCCCCCCAATGCCTCCAGGAGGGAATCAGATGGGCCCAAACGTGGTGAGGCTCCTGCCCAGCAGGACACCCAGCCCCCATGACTCCTTACTCCTCTCTGATGCGGGGACCCCACGTTCTCTGCCCTGATCCCTTCTGGCCACACCCTGGCCCTCTGCCTGGCCGGCACTGAGCTGGCAACGGGCAAGTGGGGACTCCCCCCAGGCCCGCTGGACTTACAAGGCAGGGCCTTCAACTAATGGTCACCGAGCCCAATGAAAGGCTTGTCCCGCTGGTGGGGGTGGGGCTGGGTAACTCAGACGAGCCCATGCTCAGACTTTCTGGCCCCCCTCCTAAAACCGGGGTGGAGCTGGGGACTCTCCCGGAGGGCCTGCAGCTAGAGATGCCCCATGCAGGAGGCTCCCACTAGGCCTGGGCCCAGAGTCACACGGCTCAGCCACTACCTCATCCAACGCTGGCCATGATCCATCCTCTTACAGATAGGGAAACTGAGGCCCAGAGCAGGAAAGGAACTTGTCCAAGATCACCTGTTCTGTGCCTCCCAGCAGGACTGAGCACAGTTTAATCAGTTATCTCTGACGAATCACTGAGCACAGGGACTTAAAAAAACCCCTGACCTGTAGTGTGTGTGTTTGGGGAGGTTCCAGGTAAGGAAAGACCCTCCACAGGGGCAGGGAGAAACATGGCCTTCTCCCTGAGATATGATGGGACTGCCTGGGTCCCGCGAGCTACAAGTATTGGGGGGTAGGGGAGAGGAGATTTGAGGAGGGGCCTTCTGGGCCTCGGGGCTGGCTCTCTGTCCACTATGGCCTCAGACATCATGTTATAAAGTGAAAAAATACAGTCAAGGGAGGGAGGGGTTTGTGAAGACCGCTCAGTGACCCCAGCTGGAGGCAGACTATTCATACAAGGCCAGTGGGCCGCTCACTGCTTGTGCATCATGAGGAAGGAGCCCTCCGGGCTTCTCTCCTCCGGCCTGGCTCCTGCCCTGCTCAGGAGCCACCAATGGCTGTCGCCACCCCCGCCTCAGCTTGGCCTTCCTCCAGGCCACAGTTCTGGACACGTCCCTTCAGCCCCCTCCCACCCCAGAACCCTCCCTCTTCCGGTGCCCGCCTGCCTTGGGTTTCTCTAGAGTCCTTGGTCTCCCATGTGAGCTCCTGGGGCAGGGACCGGTTCCTATCTTAAGTGGTGACACGTACAGGGCCTTGTGCAGGGGAAGCGCTCAGAGGGCACTGGTCCAAGAGAATCCCTTTGCCACACAGGGCAGGAGGCCCAGCCTGGGCACAGGAGGCCGCCCTTGGCACTGCCTCTACGCCTTCCCCCCGGTGCTCCAGCCCCTCACCTGTCGTGAATCTTGGCTTCGCGGGGGGCTCCTGCACAGACATGGGGAAAGTGGCCGACGCGGGGGACGACTGTGCTCGGGACAGGGGCCGGTGGCCGCCAAAGGAGACGGGGATGCCCGCGGCCTCCATCGAGGCCTGGTAGTTTCTCAGCTGATGGATGCGCTGCTGTTCAAGCAGAAGGGCTTGCTGTGGACAGGAGAAAGGGCGGAGAGGGCCCGGTCAGCGGAGCTGCTGTCCTCGGGCAGGGGAAGGGGCACGTGCCCCATAATTCTACATGGTGGTGCTACGCGGGTGGGCGCACAGACCACCTGGAAAGGGGAGCTCCTGACCCCAGGACCATCCCCAGGCCCTGCCCGTGCTCTCGGCGCACGGGGCCCGATAGCCAGTCTCTGGCTCAGGGCAGGGCCTGGTGCTGGCCGTGGCCTCTGCACCAGCCAGGGCATCGCTGGACTCCCTGCTCTCAGAAGGCTTGGGAGGGGTCGGTTGACCCCACAGAGCCAGAGTCTGTAGGAAACTCAGAGGCCATGTAGGCCAAACCCCTCATTTTGCAGATCAGGAGACTGAGGCCCTGCAGGGTTAAGTGCCTTATGACCTCTGAGGTCGTTCAGTCTGACCCCTCATTTTCAGGATTTGATGCAAACCCCCGGCCCTGGGCTCCCGCCAGGATCCTTCCCACTCTTGTCCGGCCTCCTGAATTCAGCAGCAGGATGCATTTCCACACGCTGCCCCCCAGATTCAGCTTCCTCCTGCCCTACAAAGGTGTGGAGTGCAGGACCGCGAGGCCTCAAAGGCCCCTTCTAACCTAAGATTATTTCACATCACCAGGCAGGACCAGGGGCCTGCAGCTGGGGGTCAGCCATGGCTCACGCTCGAGGGCCACCCCCCATCCCAGGAGGCCGCCCAGACCCCATCACCTGGCGGAAGAGCAGCTCCTGCTCTGCCTGCCGCTGGCCAGGCTCGGCCTCGTGGGCTGGCGCCTCGGCGTCCTCGCCATCGCTCTCGATGGGCTCCTGCTTGACCTGCACGGCCTCCTTGTGGCCGGGCAGCCGCTCGGGGTACGGCTCCTCCAGCAGGGCCTGGTGCTCCCGCAGCTCCTCCTCCGTCTCCTCTGGGTGGCTCTCATGCTGGCGGGCCGGCTCAGCGGGCTTTGGGAGCATCTGCGAGCATGCGGGGGAGCGGAACAGGTTAGAGACGGGAACCCAGAGCTGCATTCCAGGGGCTGCCGTTAGTGATGGTGATAATGATGAGACAACCGCCAAGCCGATGGCGCCTGGCGACCACGGCTCGTGTGTGTGTATGCACATGGGAGCACGCACACACATATGCACTCACACAAATATATACACGCACCCACAAGGAACATACAAGCACATCACACGTGTGTACACGAGAGCACACACACGCACATGGGAGCACACATGCACAAACACACACGCACTCATACAAATACATGCACGCTTACAAGGAACATATAAGCACACACCCCACGTGTGTGCATGGGAGCACAAACACACATGCACTCATACAAATACATGCACGCTTACAAGGAACATACAAGCACACATCACACCCATGTGCACACATGAACGCGAGCCCTCAGCAGGAAGCCTGCCAGGCCCCTTCCCACCTGTGCCACAAGCCTGCCCGGGGCACACACCCCGTCCCCCCGGCTACCCCCAGCGTCACAGCTAACGTCCTCCTCTCTTCCTTCTAGGATGCCCCAGAGCTCAGGTCCCAGGAGCCCGGGATGGAGGGCAGTGGACGTGTGGCACAGCCCCCTGTGCTGAAGCCAGAGCTGGGAAGAGGCCCCTTGTTCTGCAGAGGAGAAAACTGAGGACAGGTGGTGGGCATGAAAAGACCACTGAGGTAGCAAGTGACAGAGGCAAAGGTGAACCCGCGTCTCTGGGCTCTTTTGACCCTGCCTCTGGACTCGCTGGGGGGCTCCCCTGGGTTCCTCCGATAGTGAAGGCCGTCCACGAGGTTTCTTTGTCCACTGTGGACCAGGGAGAGGGCAGAGACGGCTCCATGTGGGCATGACCCCAGCCCTCCTGCCTCGATGCCCCACGGACTGAAGACGATCCCATGCAGCTTGGAGGCTGAGAAGCTCCAGGTGTCTGAGGGCCATGGAACCTTCCCACTCATGCCCCTGCTCCCTGCCCCCATGCCAGATGCCTGCCTCGTCTTGTCAGAGGGCGTGGGCACAAGAACCTGCGTCATCCACACTCTTCTCTGATGAGCCCTCCACGCGGAGCCGCCCGGTGAGGAGACGGGTGGTCAGCCCGCCAGGGACACCAGCGCGCCTGGTCTGACAGCCCCGCAGCTGGAGCACGCTACAGAACGCTGTCCAAATGGGCAGCCCACCACTGACTGCTCATGGCTCTGGTTCTGAGATCTGAGGGGCGGAGTCTCACAGCTGGTGGGACCCGAGGCATCACCTGGCTCAAGCTGCATTTGAGTAGGTTCTTGGCTAAGGTCACTTAGCCTCTGCACGCAGACCTCTAGTGATAGGGATCTCACTACCTCACAAATCAGCCTATGGAAAGTGATGAATGAACACTTGTTCTTGACCTGGGCGGAGGCTCTGAGGGCAAAGGGATGGCTTCTGAGACCTCTGCTGGCTGACCGGGGAGGGAGGGAGGCCATGGGGGGGCATGGGGAGGGGAGAAGGGGTCTTGGGGGGACAGGAGGGGGCCATGGGGGGCACAGGGGAGGGGAGGAGGAGGCCATGGGGGGGACAGGAGGGACCATGGGGGACAGGGGAGGGGAGGAGGGGTCATGGGGGTAGAGGGGAGGAGAGGAGGGGGACATTGGGGCACAGGGGAGGGGAGGAGGGGGCCATGGAGGTGCAGAGGAGGGGAGGAGGGGGACATGGGGGGCAGGAGGGGGCCGGGGAGGGGAGGAGGGAGACATGGGGGGGCAGGGGAAGGGAGCACAAGGACTCCCCCCACCCCCATGGCCCAGCCTGAAAGGACACCCACAGAGGGAGCTGTCCTGAACACAGGGTCCTGAGTGGAGCCTAGGGCCAGGGGGACACACCAGGGGCTCGGGTAGTCAGGCTGCCCAGGTCAGGGCAAACCCTTTGACCTCCAAGGTGGCCTCACTCTTCAGCAGCCCTGGGCACAGCCCCTCCCAGGCCTTCCCCAAATGAAGCCACAGTGATTTTCTGTCTTAGAGTAGACACCGCCAGGGGTGTTAGCAGGAGGGGCTGCTCTGTACAGGATTAAAGAAAACCCAAGGAAACATGGTGGTTTTCTTCAAACAGGAGCCCAGCCTGGGCCAAACCCCAGTGCCAGATGTCACTTCGCAATCAGATCGCGGCCTGAGAAATACTTCACTGGGATGTTTAACGTGAAGGTTTTGAGACGATGGAAGGGCCCACTGCCCAGGGCTTGGTGTGCGCTGGCGGCAGGCGCTCCCCAAGCATGGGGGAGGCTCTGGGCCTGGGCTCAACTCCTGGACCAGCCACTCACTACCAGCCTCTCTGGGCCTCGTTTCCCGTGACTGTCAAAGATGGAGGCTGATTGGAGGACCCTAGGGTCCCTCCCAGTTCTAAATTCCCAAGCTTGTGACCCACTCTGTGCGCCTTGGTTTCTCTATCTTTCAAACAGGAGTGGGGGGAAGAGGAGGAAAGGGCTGAGCTTGATTGCCTCTAAGATTCCTTGAGATTCTCTGCTGCTATGGAAACCAAAGGGCTGACAACAGAGGTGGAATGAGCCGCCTCTTGGCCGGATTTCTCTAAAACATTCCCATCAAAACAAATGGGCATCTATTTCAAGGGTGAACTCTGGTGGGAGATGGGGTACCAACAGACGGCACAGCCCCTGAGGTGGAGGCGGGGCACGCTGGGCAGCAGTGGGGGGGAGGGGGGAGGTTCGCTTTAGCTCAGCAGCACAAGGTCCTCCCCTTCCCTTCCCCCCCTCCCCCGGCCACTCTTGGAAACGTGGCCTGGGACCCTTTCAGTGCCTTGTGTCTCTGCGGCCCACCCTGAGGCCTTGGGGTGGGAGGGTGGTGTTCACACCCTGGCAGATACAGGGCTGTGGTGGGAGAGGCTCTGGCTCAGGGCTCCCAGGACTTGGGTTCCAATCCCATCCAGGCCAGCCCCCAACTACTCAGGCAACAAGCCAACCGACCTTTCTGGGCCCGTTTGTTCAGCTTGACATGGATGCATTGGGCCTAGGGGCTCTTTCTGCAGGCCCCTCCAGCCCTAAACCCCAATTTAGAACGTGCTTTGAAAGAACTGAGGCAGTAGATGGAGGGCTGGGCCTGGAGTCAGGAGCCTCAGCCATTGACGTGCTGTGAGACCCTGGGTGAGTCACTGAACTTCTGTCTGCCTTCATCTCCTCATCTGTGAAATCCCAGGGTTCTGGTGAGGGTCCGATGAGTAACCTCTGGAAAGGGCACATTTTCATCTCTGTATCTCCAGACTGAGCACAGCACCTGGTATACAGCTGGCACTTAAGAAATGCTTATTGGTTGACTGATTCAATTCTGAGCAAACAGAACATAAACTCCTTAAGGGCAGAGACCGTCTGTTCTGTTTTTGTCTTTGTACCCCAAGTACTTAGCACAGTGCCAGGCACCCAGTAGGTGTTTAATAAATGCCTGTTGATCAACTGCTTCCGCATTTTGTTTTGTTCAACCAAGGCAAACTCAGAACTGAAATTCAATCCGCATGATCTGACAGAGAGGCGGTTAGCAAAGGGCAGAGGCCCCTGGGACCAAGAACACGTCTTCACCAAGCAAATCGGGGTTTTTTAGATGCGGACAGAGGGGACGAGGCTGTGTCGATGCTTTCTGCGTGTCGTGATGGAGTTCACGCCAGGCCAGGAAAAGGATCTGCCACACAGTAGGCCTTGAAGCACAACTGCTGATGGACGGAAGCCTAGTACCACACAGTAGGCCCTTGAGGCACAACTGCTGATGGACGGAAGCCTAGTACCACACAGTAGGCCCCTGAGGCACAATTGCTGATGGACGGAGGCCTGGTGCCACATAGTAGGCCCTTGAGGCACAACTGCTGATGGACGGAGGCCTCGTGCCACACAGCAGACCTTGAGGCACAACTGCTGATGGACGGAGGTTCCACGTCCCAGTGGGGCGAGGGCAGGACCTGGAACCCGAAGGCTCTGAATTCAAACAGTGCCTCAGGTAATCACTGGCTAAGGGTCACCCTCTCAGCCTCTGTATTCTCATCTGTAAAACGGGGATCATGACAGCACCTTCCAAACAGAGGCACTGTGACATTTAAATCAGACGATATCTGTCGAGCCGCAAAGCTCACGGCCTTCTGTAAACGTGAGCCACCGCCGCGGTCGTCATCACCGTTGTTGGCTTCGTCGTCGATGTCCGGCACCAGCCTCGCCCGCCCGCCCCCCACGGACCGCCCCGCACCCCGGCCCGGCTCCCCCGGGAGAGGCTGCCCCAGCTCCTACCTTGTTCAGGTGCATCTGCTGCTGCTGGAACTGCTGCTTGTGTTTCTCCAGGAACTGCTGGTGCTGCTGCTGGATGACGAGGTGCTGCAGGGCCTGTGTGTTCTGGGGCAGGGGGGCCGACTGCGTGCGCCCCAAGGGCCGGTGCTGCCGCAGCTTGTGGATCGAGGGGGACAGCCGGTCTGCGCCCACCAGGGACTGTGCGTGGAGGGGCAGCGCCCCCAGGCCTGAAAGACACCAGTCTGAGGGTAGCGCGGAGGAGAAACGAGCAGAGGGAGAAGGCGGTGGCGGTGCGGCCCTCCCCACTCGAGACGCCCTGGGCTGCGGGGCACGGCTTTGATGCATCGCCGGCCCGTGCCCCGCCCCCTCCTACACACACAGCACACGTGAAGCAGGTCGAGTAGCCCCCGGCCACTGCCCTTCCTGAGCAGAGAACCCCGAATCCGGGGCTCAGATAATGGAAATGCCAACGCTGATGGAAGCAGGCCAAGTGGGGTGTCTCCATCGCCTTCCACGGCGAAGTTTGTCCACATGGGCCACCTCTCTCTGGCCGTGACCATCTAGCATTTCTATGACTCTGTTTTTGGTGGCCGGGAGAATGTAAGCCACATGGGGGCAGGGACTAGGGCACTTGGTCGCTAGAGGGTGAGGTGGGGAAACACCCCTGGGACCGAGTATAAAATGGGACAGGGTGTGAAAGCCAATACTAATCTTGGATGGTCCAGAAAGGCACCATGGAGTGGACACCAGGGCTGGCCGGCCACGGCATCAGGGGGTGCTACCTCCATGAACCTGGGAAGGTCAGAGTCTGAGTGTGCCTCAGGCAACCGGAACAGCACGGGCGGAGGGAGCTTCACACCTGAAAATCTCCCTTCCCCCTTCCCCCATTCACTCTAAAGGTGAAGACAGGAAGCAGAAGGCCGCTGTGCTTCCAGTAGGACCGCTGCAGTGGTGGGGGGGACAGCGAGAGGCCCCCTTATGTCACTGGGCCCAGCGAAGTGCCCAGTCTGATCATGGGGGCCCTTCTGCGTGGGCCAGGGCTTGGGGAAGGGGGCCAGGCCACTGCTCGGCACAAGAGTCCTTATTTTTGAGGCTTCAAAGACATCTGCATTGTTTACTCGGCTCCCCCAAGATGCCAGCGAGCTGGGAGGGGGCTGACTGTGCGCAGGTGATCTCGGAGCTGGGAGAGGTAGGCTGACTGTGCGCAGGTGCTCTCATAGCTGGGAGGGGTGCAGCCCAGGCCACACAGGCCACGTGCACCTGCAGCACTAAGATTCCCAACGAGGGAGACCTCCATCCCCAGCTCGAATTGCTGGTTGCTTTTCCCAACACATCTATCATCAACTGGTCTCTGCAATGTCCACCCACAGCTTCTAACTCTGCACTCTGGGGTCCGACAGAAAGAAGCAAATTCATTTTCTATGTGACGCCATCCCGTACCCAGTCCCCGAGTTCTTTCCAATGACCCTCCTACAGCACTGACTGAAGGTCTTCAATGACCTTCCTAAGCTGAACACCATTGTCTAGAAGGGCTCTGACCCAGGCAGTACACAGTAGGGCTGCTGCCCTCAGCCGGGAAGCCCCGGACCCTAAAGCAAGTATGGCATCTAGGAGGTCTGGTGGTCGTCTGCACCGAGCCTGCCCTCCACAAGCCCCCATCGGGTCAAGGCCTTCCTTGAGCTTCCCACACGCTCCCAAGAGGGCTTTTTTGGTCTCACCCTTTAGTGTCGGGGGGACCGAGGAGGCAGACGCTCCCGGTGACCCCGAGGGGCACCTCTACGATCACGTCTAGGATACAGCAAAGACCCCCCATGGGCAGGCTGGGGGTCCCACCTTTGCCCAGCTGGCGTCCCTGGCTTCAGGCTGGCCTCTGCCTCAAAGAGCACCCATGTGTTTCCTAACCACATTCAGCCAAGGTGGCCTCTCTCTAGGATGGCAGCGGTCCCACCCATCCCACTCACGCCGCAGAGGAAGAGCAGCCTCTGTGGACTGTTTGCTGGGCCTTCTGGCCAGACACGAACTCAGCCTCCAGCTCCCCCACAGCCCCTTGAGCGGGTCCTTCCCTTTCTACGGTGCACTGTGACTCTCTGTGGCCTCAGATCGGAAGCTCCTTCCTCCCCCCGTCATGTCCCCAGCCCACCCCAGCTCTGGGGACCATAGGTGCTGGCTGATGGACAGCAGTGCTAGGGACCCACTGACAGATAAGGGGCACGATGCCCACTTCCCAACAGATGGGCTGGGAGCAAGCTGCCGCTCACACAGTGCTGCTGCCCTGTAGGATGAGCCGAGCTGTAGGGGATGGTGTCCCTGGCAGAGGGAAATCAGGAACCTTTATCATCAGCTAACACTTCTAGAGGCTTACTAGGTGCCAGGCTCTGTGCTAAACACTACAATTACTATCTCCCTGGATCCCCTCTGGGAGGGAGATGCTGCTCTGATGGCCATTTTACAGTTGGGGAAACTGAGGCAAGCAGCAGTGAAATGAGTTGCCCATGGTCACATGGCTAGTAAGTATCTGAGGCTGGATTCGAACTCAGGTTCTCCTGACCCCAGGCCCAGCGCTCTGTGCACGATGTTTAGAAAAAGATAGGGAAAGAATGCCAGCCTGAGGTCTGCCCAGAGCCACGAGTGGGCTGTGCCCTCCTGTGCCCTCAGACTCCAGCACTGACGGGATGGTCTTCACCTTCTAGATCCTGCTGAATGGAAGGAAAAGCCCCTTAAGGGCAGGCAGGATCCCATGGAAGTCCTCCCAACCCCACACGCTGTGCTCCTCCTGCTCCACGTGGGTGACTCCTAAATGTGCCCAGCTCTAGAACGTGGGCCAGCCAGGAGCGCTGAGGCGGGCTCCGCCCTTGCTCCGGCTCTAGAGCACAGACTAATCAGGAGCACCAACGCGGGCTCTGCCCCTGCTCCGGCTCTAGAATGTGGGCCAGCCAGGAGTGCCAAGTTGGGCTCCACCATCACACTCACCTGTGACTAAGGGCGCCTGGGCCGCCGGCTGCTCCAGGAGCACCATGTGTTGCAGAAGAGGGTTGTGCGTGCTGGTCCCATCCCTGTCCAGCGTGGCAGCCGTAGTGCTCAAGTAGGGAGTGAGGTGGGTGCCAGGGAAGAGGGAGATGCGCTGCTGGAGGGCCGGGATCGCGAGCCGCTCGGCCTCCTGCTGTCCAGATGCCCCCTGGCAGAGAGGGACATGGGACGGGTTACTTATGCCAAGAGCCCCAGAGGGACTAGCCACCCCCGCTCCTGCCCCCTGAGCCTGCCATCCTTACGCTCGAAGGGCCGGTGGCAGGCAGGCCTAGTGTGATATTGGGCAGGGAGGGCGACGTGTAGAGGGGCAGCTGCGTCACGGAGCCTTCGCGGGTCACCAGTCGATGAGCCAGGTTGGTCTGAAAAAGGCGTAGAAGGTGGGTGTCAGAAGTGAGGCAGGACCCAGACCTGGCCCGGGTCACTCTGAGTGTGCTCAGGCCACCGGGGGAAAACGCACCAAGGGCCAGTTATCAAACAATCAACACTGATCAAAGAGGCTGATTTCCCAGAGTGCCCGACTCAGGCCCCCAGAGCACTGGGGTTGAGTCTCTGCCTAGGAATCAGGAATACCTCCAAGTGAGGACCTTGCCCTGCCCCCACCCCCACCCCCAGGAAATCAAGGATTCGCCAGATACTATCAGGGACTCCCTGCAACCGCGTTTTACATGGATTTACATCTAGCAACCTGATGTGGCAGGTTCTATGGTTACCCCCATTTTACAGATGAGAAAACTGAGGCTGAGAATGATGACGGGAATTGCCTGGGGTCACCCAGCTGGTAAGTGACTGAGATGTGATTACAACTGAGTCTTCCTGCGTGTTGACCTCGAGGTCCAACACCGAGATGCCAACATGTGAGGCCATGTGGGAAGCAGAAGGTGAGCCACACACCTAAGACAGTGCATACGTGTGTGTGTGTGTGTGTGTGTGTGTGTGGAAGAGTGTATGAGTGTGTGAATGTGAGTGTATGCATGTGTGAGAGAGCATGTGTGTATGAGTGTGCATGTGTGAGTGTGCATGTGTGAGACAGTATGCATGTATGTGAGTATGCATGTGTGTGAGACAGCGTATGTAACTGGGAGGGGGGAGACAGAGAAATGACTAGGATAAGCCTTTGCACTGCCTGCTGGCCTCAGGAGGGGGTATGGCTATTTTTCCTGGGGAGGGGGTGGGTTTGTTTCCTGAAGAGAAGAGAGAAATCCACTGTGAGAGTGGCGGTGGTTGGGGGGGGCCTCCTGATATGGAGACCACGGGATCACAGCGTTAGAACAGGAGCACCCCAAGAGGCCTCCCGGTCCAGGCCCCCTCACTTCACAAAGGAGGAAACAGGTCCGAGGATGGTCAAGCGACTGCCAAGGCTGTTGAGGACGTGCCGGGAGGAGGATGGACTGGAGCAGAGGCTCTGGGGCCAACCTCCTTTCTCCGCAGGCGCAGACTCAGAGGCTGGGGCCCCTCCGCCAGGCCCTCAGCCCATGGGTCTCGGACAACCAGGTGGCTGCTGGGGCCTCTCCTCAGAACGTTCATAATGCGGAAGACAATGAACTGCCCAGGACTCACAAAGGAAGCTGATGATAGAGATGTGAAGAGACATGGCTGTTCTCAGAAATGCCTTCTGGCCACGGGGTGAAGAATCCCACTCGAGGTCCAGGCTGGCATCCCCACGGCAGTCACTGAAGCCTCTGCAGCAGTGCCAAGGGTAGCCTTCACCAGAGAAGCCAGCAGGGTGTGCGGTGGGCAGGGTGACCCTCTCAAGGACCCCTGGGTGGCAGCTCATAGAACAGGCCAAGGCAAACTGGCGGAGGTCACGAAGGTCCCACAGGCCTGGGGAGGGCAGCCCAGGTCAAGGACAGAGATAAGTGGGGGAGCCGGCAGAGGAAGGCAGCCAGGATGTCTGCCCTGAAGGAAAGATAATGTGCAGGGTGTGGCAGGGGGTATGATGGCAACCCAAGGAGGGAAAAGGCTGTCACCTGGAGAGGGAGCAGCCCCACAGGGCAGGACCATGGGCACAGAGCGGAGCTCGTAAAAAGATCAAGCTACTGTGAAAAAGAGAAAGCAGCCAACTTCCTCATGGGGTAAGACCCTCAAAGCGGTGGGGCTGCGGTCACACCTGGAGGAGCCCGTGGCCAGGGACAGCCCGGAGGCAGCTGCCAACCCAGAGGCGGGCAGCCCTCTTGTTGACTCTTTTTACAAAGACCTTTAGAAGTTCTATATGGCAAGTGAGAAAGGCAGTCACTGGCCCCAGCCACCCTGTGGGCTCACTGGATGTTCCCTCTGACCCCACAGGCACCCTTCACACAATGTCCACGTCCAAAGCATGAGGTCAAGATGAGACCCTCCCCCTTCCCTACTGAAGGCCTTTCGCTGGCGTTTCTCAGGAGGCACAAGGCAGTCAGGCTCTCACAGGGGCTGGACCTCTCCTTTATCGATGACCCACGGGCCGTGGGGCAGGCACACAAATGCACCCAAGGCTCCAGGGCCCTGAAGGCCAGCTAGCTGTGGAAAATGGCCAAGCACTCTTTCCATTCACTCCGGCTGCACTCTGGGTACAAACGTTCTTAGGATGGGAGCCACCTCTGGATGCATGCACCATTCGGGGTGCCTGCCACTTCATTTCTGGGGACACAGATTCTGGAGCGGAAGGCTCTGTCCAATCACTGCATCCAATGGGGAAGTGTTCACGGCCTGGGAGGGAGCCCTTCCTCCAACTTTGTGGAAGGAGGGCCGACGACTGCTGATGCTGGCACGTCCCCATTCTGCAGTGTCTCTCGGGGGGCCCCTTTCTACATATGTCTGAATTTCCTCTGATGTTCAAAAACCAGCCCCTTCTAGGCTTTTTCCCCCATGCTGGGAGAATAAAATGGAAAATGATATTTTTCATTTCTTCTGCAGAGAGGCACAGTGTATTCTAACCCTGAGAAATTGCCCTAAAAATCTTCAGCTTTACACCTGCACACAATTGGTCAGGATGCTTAGAATGATTGTTTGGAAGGCAATTTCCTAGACAGAAGTTCCTGCTAAAAGGAAAACAAACCCCAGAAAAATCATGCATAAAGAGTGAGCCTAAGATCAGCCAATTAAGCTGCGTGACTCCCCATTACAGGCAAACAGGCCTCAGCGACCTGAGTCGTGTTGGGAATGTCTGCAAGCACTCACGCGCCTCAGCTCCCCTGAGGGCTCCGTCACAGCCCAAATTGGGGGCCCCTCAGTTCTCCTGCTTTCTAAGCCAAGCACCCTCCCTCCCACAAGGGCCCCAGAATCTGCTGGGCTGGTCACCTTCCTAAGAGGAGCCCAGGAGGGGCATCACTGTGCCAGGGGGCATCTCTGCTCTTGAACAGCCTCCAGAGTATCATTCCTGGGTGAAAGCAATCATCTTAGAGCTTACAGGGCAATGTAAATGGAATGGGAGGCCTTGGGAGGTGGTGAGTAGAGGAGGTGTGCAAGCACAGATTGGATGGATGCTTCCCAAGGATACCAGAGAGGGAGTTTTAGGGATAGCCCCAGGCTGTGGCATGGCTCCCAGGGAGTGTTGATGACTCCTTCATTCTTACTCAGGTTTGGGCCAGGCGAGATGACTTCTGGGAATGGCCAGCCCAGGCTACACTCCACAAAACTTGGGCAAACCATGTGATTAATTAATCAGCCGCCAACCGTAACCCTAAATGCTGAGCGCTCACCAGGAGAGGCTCTCTTCAGGACCTGGACCTGACCCTCACTGGGTGTATGACCCTGGATAACTCACAACCTCTCTGAAACTCAGTGGCCCCTCCTAAAATGGGGATCCCAGAATTCCCCCTTCCTACCCTACAGGGCTCTGGGGAGACCAAGCTGAAGGAGGCCGGGGAAAGGCCTTTGAAAGTTGTACAGCACCAAGCAAAAGCCAGAGAGGAGGAAGAGGAGAAGGAGGAGGAGAGGGAGGAGGAGAGAGACGGGAAGGGGGAGAAAGAAAGGATGATGAAGAAAAGGAAGAAGAGGGCCAATGATGAAAGAAAAGGAAAAAAGGCAGGGCTGGGAGAGGGAAGAAAATGAGACCACCCCTGCCGGCCAAGAGTCTTGGCGAAGTTTGTGGCTGGGGTATATGCAGGGAGGCCTCGGGCAGGCCAGATGCATTTTTGGGGTGCACAGGAGGGTCCTCTCTCTCATTCCTCAGAGGAGGGGAAAAGACTTGACTGAAGCTGGCTAGGGTGTAAGCGGCAAAACCAGGTTCGAACCTAGGTCCTCTGATTCCACATTCCAATGCCCTCCAGGCCTCAGTCTCCTCGTCTGTAAAATGGGCACAATGGCCTGCTGGTCACCAAAGCCCCTTTGCTGCTCCCTGCACCTCAGTTTCCTCCTCTGTAAAGATGAGGGGGGTTAATCAGAGGTTCCCTAAGGCGTCATCTAGATCCAAACCTTAGTCCTGAGCAGATGCGTGTTCTCATCAGCAGGCCCAGCCTTCGTTTCCAAGCCTGCCCGTATTCAGTTTTGTTTGTTTTAAAGAAAAAGCACATGATTAAAGCGGACAAGGAAGCATTGAGCCTGGTATCTGTGTATTTGCAAAGGGCAGAAAAGGTCCTTTTCTCTTTTTCCCTAGCACTGGGCTTATTCCTCGTAGCTCCAAAGGCCGTGTACCTCAGGGGACCTCTCGTGGAAAGCCCCACGACTGCCTGGGCTCCCCCGCTGAGAAACAGCGAGAGGGCACTGACCTCTGCCTGGAGGCTGGCGACTGAGGCGGCGAGCCCGTTCTCGGCACTGACGTTGTTGGAGCTGTTGTTGGGGGAGCTGGGTCCTGATCCGGGGGCGCTGCTGCACGCGGAGTCTAGAACAGAGCAGAAGCGTCAGAGGGAGGCCCGGGTGGGGCCTAGAGAAGGAGGAAGGGAAGGAGGCAGGGCCCAGGGGCCCAGATCCCACACCTGATTTCTACAGAATGCTCCCAAGGAGCCAAGGACAAGAAGCAGTGCTGGGACAGGCCGCCATTTTAAACGCATCTTCTAAGATCCACGTCTCACACGGCCTGAGCAGGAATCCCTGTCTCTTTACTTCAAAGTCAGCCCCCTCGGCCTCCTGAGGAAAGGGTCACACCAATTCCAACTCCCACCTGGAAACACCTTCACGACAGGAAGGCGGGAGGCCTTCCCAGGGGGCACCAGGATCTCTCAGTTCCCAATGAGCCTCGACCCTTTATTAGCACTGATGACGGAGTGGACTCGGCTTCTTGTCTCTGGCCTCTCCAGCCCTGCATCAGTGCCACCCCCCAGCACTGAAGAGGAAGCAGCATCCTAATGACCGAGTGACCTGCCAACCCTCTGGGAACACACACACGCATGTGCGCACATGAGCACACATACACTAATGTGCACATGTACATGCTGACACGTGCACGCACACACACACACACACTCTTCATGCCATACAGTAATATTCTCTGATCAGGTGAAATCGACTGTCCATTCAGACTTAACCAGTCAAAAGAAAGGTGGGTCAGATTTAATTAATTCATTAATGAAGTCCTTCTCTTTAAACTTCCAGACTAGTCTGTATCACCTTCTGTGTTCCTAAACTGGGGGTAAGATGAAGAGAATAATGCTAGCCAAACACAGTGAGGTCCACGGCTGATTCATCACAAGTCACAACACAGCCTTCAGGGAAAGGGCAGAAGAATGGATTAGCCTTCTGGACTCAGGGCCTAAGCCCCACAGTCTTGGGATACAACACAGAAAGGAGGCGTTTCAACTCCATTTGACCCAACCAACCTGACCCAACTCAGCCAGCATTTATTAGGGAACTTTTAATGCACCAGACACAGAGGATACAAAGAGAAAACCAGAACTGTCCCTGCCTTCGAGGAGCATGGCGAAAACAGCACAGTACACAGATCAACCAGTACAAAACATACTCCAAGTAAATTCAGGAGGAGGGGGAGGCTGATGATGTGGGCGAGGGCGGTGCCTGGAAGTTATTTCCAAACTATATGTTCAGCAGAAATACCTCTACTGGGTCTGTATCCCAAAGAGATCAATGCAAAGGACCCACGTGTACAAACTTATTGATAGCAGCTCTTTCTGTGGTGGCCAAGAACTGGAAATCGAGGGGATGCCCATCCATTGTGAATGGCTCAACAAGCTGTGGTATATGAATGCATTGGAATACTATCGCGCTATAAGAAACGATGAGCAGGCGGACTTCAGAAAAATCCGGAAAGACGTGTATGGTCTGATGCTGAGCGAAGTGAGCAGAACCAAGAGAACATTGCACACAGTAACAGCCACGTTGTAACAACGATCAACTGTCATGATTGTAGCTGTTCTCAGGAATATAATGATCTAGACAATCCCAAAGGACTCTTGATGGAAAATGCTCTCTGCCTCCAGAGAAGGAACTGATGGAGTCTGAATGCCGCCTGAAGCAAAATCTTTTCACTTTCTTTACGTTTCTTGCTTTTTATTTTTCTTACAGCATGGCTGATATGGAAATGTTCTGCGTGACTTCAAAACATAACTGAGCCAAGCAAACAAAAACAAAGCATGTGGCCGAGCCAAGACTACAGAAAGGTTAGGGAAGAACGGGATGGGGCCAGAGGGGGTGGAAAGAGTGGACGAATCACCCCAGCAGAACTTCCCCCGGGCCCGGTTTGGTCCTCCTGCCCAGGAGCTGACTGCTTGAAGATCAGGGTTTTCAGTCTCCTCAGACACAAGGCGCCTCAGAACCGACCCACACATCAAAGCCTCACTGAGGAAGCCTTGGCAACGGAGCCCTGCCCAGAACCCCTTCTGGCTCCTGCATCCCGCAGGAGCAAGCCTTTCTGGAGTCCCCGGGGCCTTGGAGAGAGGCAGAGATCTGGGCTGATCAGAGGGAACGAGGCCATTTCCTCTGAGTCCAAGGAGGGAAGGGCTTGCTTCTATTTCTCCAGTAACACTGAGGGTCACGCTCAGACTGGAAAATGCCAGTCACTGAAGAAGAGCCTTTGGACGGAAGAGAATTCTGGGAAAGTAAGAACGTTGCCACCCTCCTCAAGCCTTCCAAGGGCACTTTTTCTGGTCTGCTCATCTCCTGAAGGCTGAACTGTTGTCATGGACCTCCTCAATACCCCAGGGGACTCAGGCTGAGTGCTGCAACTGACTGGCCCCCTGAGCCCTCCTCGCACCTCTGGCTAAGGCAGGGATGGTCTTTCTGAAGCAAATGTCAGGATTAGAATCCTGGCACCTCACAGTACAGACTGTAGGTATGTTGTATGCAGATAGAAGGAAACTATTAGTTGGGATGGGGACTGGGATGAGATCTTTGACTTTACTGATGTGGGGGAACCCCCTCTCTTGCTAGAGGTTGGCAGCTTCTTTTTGACTTAAGGGTCTTAAGAGAATTGCTTGGAGCACTGAGAGGTGAGGGGGCTGCTACAGTCAGGAGGTGTCAGAAGTGAGATTCCAATGCAGGTCCCCTTGTCTTTGAGGCCAGCTCTGCCTCCACTATGTCCCACTCACATGTGGAATCTGCCCTAATTCAGCTCTGCCCACACACAAGCTGTCTCCCTCTCCTGGACATGCCTCACTGGGTGTCTCCCCCTCCCACTACCCTCCTCCCAGCAGCTTCCCTAACTCTGGAGAGTTCTCCACTCTCTTCCGCTGCCCCTTTCAGCTCTAGATGTGGTCATCTGCCATGGGCCGCCATGCCTTCTTCCAGAAGGCCAGCCTCTCAGTCCATCCCAACCCAAGTCCTTGCCTCCTTCATTCCTAACATGCTGCAGCAGCCTCCAGCCTCCCTCTGTAAATGCACCCCATATTTCACTTTCCTTATTCATTAGAGCCATGTTATTCTCCTGCCCAGCCACCTCTTATGACAACCTACTGTGGAGCACAGAGTTCCCCTTGGCCCAGAGGCCTCTCCGCCATCTTGCTGAGCAGCCCGGCCTTTCTTCCTCCAACTCTCTTGTCTGGAATGCTTCACGGTGGTCTCAGCAGCCTCCTGATAATCATGGACCAGAAGCACAGAATCCCAGGGCAGGCCCAGACCTGAACGCGACAGCCCTTCACAAAATCCTGACTTAACTCAGCCTTTGCTCTTAGACCAGCATGGAGGGGAGCTCCCCCTCTGTTCAAAAGCGCCTTGCCCTCTGTGTCCCAGCTCGAGCCTTGGCTCCCCTCGGGAGCTGCCCTTTCCTTTCTCGGCTCTCACTCATCAAGGCCAGGATCCGCTACGGGTCTGGCGCCAGGAGCCATTTGGCAGTGACCGAGACTGGAGCACCGTCTTGGGAATGGCTTCGGGTGCTGGCCTGGCCTCACAAAGGGCATGGTTCCAGTGTCTATCTTCTGGGCCGAGGGTTAGTTACCTAGCAAGGGGCCTGGAGGTGTGGCGATGTAATAGCTGGGCAAATGGCAGAAACCATCTCCAGGACTTGAAGGAAAACTTGCTGACAAATTAGACACATCAGCTCCCGGCTCCCAAGGCCTCAAACGGGGTGCTGTTTCATTCATTGCACCTGGGAGCTACCACGTGCAGAAAGCTGCGGATCTGAAAATAGCTCAGTCTGGCTGTCCACTGGGCCCCACCCAGGGGCAGATTCTCTGGAGGCTCAGGGCTGACATCAGAGGCCATCCTGTTGGACCTCTCATTCTACAGATGAGAATACCAAAGCCTGGAGCAGAGAAAGGACCCGCCCAGGACGACATGGCTGAGATTTGAACCCAGACCCTCTGAGTACAGGGCTAGTGGGGTCAGAAGTACAGAGCACCTGGCTGTCCTCTTATAAGCATGGTTAGCAAAACCTTCTTCCTGCAAAGAGGTGACCAGCTAGAAGGCCTCTCTGAGTCTCGGCTGACTCCTCCACACAATGGGTGCAGCGCTCACACGGCTGTAAGGGCAGTGCTGTGCAGACCTCAGAGGACACGTGAATAGAGGCTGACGTCATTTCTCTCTCAGTCTGTCTGAACACCTGAGCACCCCAGATCACAGGCTGCCCCATCCTCCAGAGCCTCTAGCATCTGAAGCAAGCCTGGGAACTCCCGCCACCACCAGTGCACACAGTCCCACGCACACGCGAGCATAAACCAAGGATGCCGGAGACGTGGCGAGGAAGCGGAGGCTGCACGGGGTACGGTCAGTGACCCTCAGGACCTTGTGAGTTCACACAGGCCGCGGACGGCACACAGAGCACCCATGCGCTGCTCTTCCGACACCATCCTTAAGCCAGCCACCGTAGTCACTGAGACAACAGAAAGCCTGGGAGGGTCCTGCTGGTTTGGGGGCGCACACCCCCTTCCCTGCCTTTGTTCCTGCCCCTGGAAGCCAGCACTCTTCTTCAGTCAAGCTTTCTGGCCCCCATCCTGTCCCATCCCCGCGTTCCCTTCTGAACAAGAGAAGGCCAGGAAGCCTGGACTCAGCCTTCCCTGTGCTTATGCCTCGAGGCCTCTAGATGGCACTCGATATCAATAAGTCTGAAGCTTGGTCTTCGAGCCTCAGGCTCCCCATACAGGGCCTTGGCTCTGAGGAAGGCAGACTTAAGGCAGGCCAGGGCTCAAGCCACACGTCCCTGGCAAAGGCCCTCATGTCACGAGCCAGGGTCAGCCCCGGGTCAGTTTCCTGCCCAAGCCGTTTCTGTGCCCAGGGCTGAAGAGTCAAACACCAGCAGAAACCTGCCCGGAGACCCTCAAAGGATCTGTCCCAGGCTCCCGCCACACCCGGCTGTCCTCAGGAGGTCCTCTGACAAGGAAATCCAGTCCAGCCCTTCATTCACTTTGTTTTCACTGTGCGCCATACCTGTGATTTCCTGGTTCTAGGGAACCTAGAAATCTGAACATCTGTCTCTCAAGGCAGCTCAGCCCCAGCACTGGGAGGCCACCCAACCCTTGGGGGAGAAGGTGGGGCTGGAGCTCAGGTCATCCTCATTCTGCCTCTTCCCACCTTCATCTTAAATGGTCAAAGCCATGTACCCAAATCCTACTAAAAGAAGTGTGGCTAAGGTGAAGAAAACACAAAAGAGGAAAAAGTGACTTTCTGCCAGGAAGCCTTCCTCAGGATGAGAAGCAGTGTGGTATGAGAGACACAACTCCTCTAACGTACCTGTGACATCCAATGGACGCTTTTTAAGAGCGGTCACCACTGGGCCATCTTTCCTGCGCAAGAGGGGGCTGCTCCGTCTCTCGGCCACTTTCTGCTTTAGCCTGGATCGTAATTTCAGATTGGGTTCAGATGCTGCACAGAAAGGAAATGTTGTTATGGCCAGAAAAACACCGAGCGGTTCAACAGCACCTCATTTGCAGTATTATTTTTTAAAGAGATATACATTGGATAAATATTAGCTTAACACGGATGCATTCCCCTGGAGTGTGAACGAAAGCATTCACTAGGGATGTGGTATCGAGCATTATCAGTGCGATCCGTCAGCCAAGAATAACAAACAGAAACGATATGATGTCTTTGGCAGCAGTTTTGTGAGCGCAGCGGGGTGTGTGTGTGTGTGTGTGTGTGTGTGTGTGTGTGTGTGTGTGGTGTGTGAAGGGACCATCACATGATAATGCTGCTGTCACACTGAAACAAGAGCCTAAGAGCCGCCTAATGTTGGGTGTGGCTGCAGGGCCCAGAAGGGAGGGCTCTACACAGAGGAAGGGGGAGTTCGAGGCCCAGGCTTCCTGGGCTTTCTCAGAGAGGCCTTGCTAATGCAACCTCACACGTTACTCCTGCTTACCAAACACTCACAACTATGGTCACCTCATGTTTTTCTCAGTCACGGTATACGCTCAACATCAAGGGGTTTAGATTCCAAATGTCAATTAAAAAACCAAAACGAAACAGTCAATGGTCACCAGAAGACCTGATCTGGAACCTTGGTTCAGCACCTCGCTGCCCGTGTGACTTTGGGTCTCTGTTTTCTTACCTGTAACATGAGAGGTGGCCAGGGTAGACTCTAGGTCCCTCTCACTCTCCAGTGAAGGTCCCATAAGCCATGTGCATGGAGCATGGCACCATGGAAAAGGCATGCATTTGGAGTCAAAGGACCTAGGATTAAATCCTGGTCATTTTACTGGTCATTCTAGGACAGCTAGCTAGCCCAGTCGGCAGAGTGCCAGGCTGGAGTTAAGAAGACCTGAGCTCAAATCTGGCCTCAGACACTTACTAGCTCCGTGACCCTAGGCAAGTCATTTAACCCTGTTGGCCTCAGTTTCCTCATCTGTAAAATGAGCTGGAGAAGGAAATGGCAAACCCCTCCTGTATCTTTGCCAAGAAAATGAGGTCACAAAGAATCGGACATGACTGCAACAACTGACGCACAAAAGCAAAATCCTACTTAGAAGTTATCTGACCACAGGTAAGGTCATTTCACTCATCTGGGTCTCAGTTTCCTTATTTGTAAAAAACCACTGGGTTACGTTAGATTATCTAAAAGATTTCTTCTTGCTCTAAATTAACGGCCTAGGCAAACCAGATGACTAGCCGTTCTCCAAGAGACATCGTCTCCCACCTCCATGCACTTGTCCACGCCTGGAACATACTCCTCACTTCCTCCTTTTAGCACTCAGCTCAGCTGTTGCAGCCTTCAGGAAGCTAGTCCTTTCAGCAGAAAGCACCTCTCCTCCCTCCAGCTTGCTGAGAGTGCTTTCAGGTTATCAGGGCCCGGGTGGTATCCCATGTCTAGGATGAGCTCTGAGGAAAGGAGAGGGGTCTGTTTTTATTTCTATTCCCACAGAAGCCAGCACAGTGCCTGGCACAGTGGAGGCTCCTGACCAATGTTCACTATACCCTGAGATGTGGAGAGGCCTCCCACCTAGGGGACACCACTCAGGGATCTTAGCTCTCAGGGCTCTTCCGGGGCCTCAGTGAAATAAGAAAGCCACTCCCCTCAGAGGACGCTTGTTCTACCTCTCTGAGAGCCACCCGAGCAAGGACCCGTGGCCGGCCCTGGCGGGAGGACACTGGGGGTGGGAGGCGGGGAACAAGCCATGAGCAGAACATCCTTTTCACAGGTGGCTGGCTCGCCTGGGGACACCCGCATCCCCCTGGACGTGGTGAGTCAGACACGCGTGGCAGTTTCTCCCTCTGGGCAGCTGTGGCACATCCGTGCTCTCCCAGGGGTCTGCAGGTAAGAGGGCATCAGGAGGAGTTTGGATCTTGACTCAGACACTTAATCGTTGTGTGATTCTAGGCAACTCTCTTCATCTCCCTCAGCCCCAGTTTTGTCATCTGTAAAATGGGCACAAGGGTCTCTACCTCCTTGGGTCGTGATGAGTCGAGGGCCACAGGAATGTCTGTCGCTACACAGATCTTATTCGTGTACTTTTTGCTGGGACAGAACCTGAACAACAGGGGCTGCTCTCTCCTGGGAGGGTGGGGGAGCTGAACTCTCCCTCCTGCGTCAGGAAGAACCCTGGACCACCCCGGCACACCCAACTGAGGCTGCGCCTGGCAGCCAAGGCCTCAATCGCCCAGCCCACCTTCAGGCAGACCCTTTTATGTCTCTGAGTGCCATCCCCATGTTCTGCCACCACTGCTTTTCATCCCAGAATCGGGGTCACAAGGGACTTTGCCAGCAGCTCTCGGAAGAATGCCTCAGCCTGAGGGTCTCTGCTGAGGAGCTTCTCAGTCCAGAAGGGTCTGCATTCCTGTCCTCCCCCATCTAGAATTTCCACGGGGGTGGGCTAGAGACTCGGAGCCACACAAAGGCTTTCTGGGAATGTGGGGTGGTCCAGAAGAGCCAAGAGGGGCCAGATGGGACAGAGGCTCATCTTACCGATTCAGCAACGGGGGGTGGGGAAGGACGGCGGACAGAGAGATGGCCGCCCGGACACACGCCGGCTGTGTCTCGACCATTCTGTGGCCCTAGGAAACTCTCAAAGACTATTCGTTACAGATCGTGGCCCATCTGCATTGGTAGAGGGCGTCTGCAACTTGGGAGTGGCTTTAGCTGATGAACTCATTCCCCCCTGAAAAGGTTCCTCTTGGAAGCTTCTAAACCACCTCCATGTAAATAGAGTGCACGCTCAATCGCTAATGAATTAGTTGGGGTGGGGACCGGTGTAAGTGGCATGGCAGCAGATGATTAGTAGGAGACTGAGTCAGTGAAGAACAGAGATCCAGGTTGCGCTGGCGAAGACGCCGGCCCTGTGACCTGTGACCCCGGGCTCGATCCATCCTTCAGGCAGCCCCTCCACACCCGACACCTGAAGCGCACGGCGTCCCTCAGGGAAGGGGTTGGGGCTCACCTTCCCTGACCTGGAAGCCACCGCCCTCTCCCAAAGATGTTCAGTGATGCCCCACTGCCCTTCAGATGAAATATGAATCTTCAGCCTGGCATCGAGGACCCTCGCCAACCCGGCTCCCTTTCCAATCTGTCACACGAGTCCTCTTTGTGGCATGCCGGCCAGTATGTCCCCCTCTATGGCAATCCTATCCCCCCGTGCCTCTACACGGGTGGTCGTCCAGTCTCACTGCCACCTTCGCCAAATCCCTAGCCTCCTTCCACACGTGGCTCAGGGGCTCCCTCTCTCCTCTGCCTCCCAGTCCCTTCAGGCTTCAATCTCACCTTCTGCAGACCCCCCGAAAGGCGGATACTGCCCCTGCCGTGACGTCTGTCATTCCCATGTGTATCTGGTATGTACAGTTATTGAAAAGTTGTCTTCCTTACTGGACAGGGGTGGTGGTGGGGCACCTCAAGAGCAGCGGTCAGGGTTTTGTCTTTCTCTGTATCCCCAGCATAGTGCCTGGCATACAGTAGGTGTTTAATAGATGCTTGATGACTGACTAGCAGATGCCTTTTGAAAGCTCCCTTCTCCACCTCTTTTTCCTCTTGAAAGGCCTTGAATGTTTCATCAATATTTTGTCTTTAGTCATCTGCACCCATGTTGCCGCCCTCTCTTCTCCACTGGTAGAAATTCGAGCCCTTGAGGACAAGGAGGGACAGTTTCACTTCTGCCTTTACCCTCCGGGCACTTCCCGCAGTGACTGAGCTTGGAGCTTGGCCCTAAAGCAGAGATGAGAGAGGTGGGGGAGGACGGGGGCAGCATAGTGCATACACTGTCAGGCTGGTTCTGCTGAACTCCTTTTATTGTTATCAAGGAGGGCTCTCCGAGAAGAGAAGGGGGCACATTTGGAAGGGAAGGGGACGTAGGAACATAAGCGTCAGCAACGGACCCTCTGGTGGGGACAAAAGGCCAACTTAGCTCCTTGAGCCAGAGAAAATAACAGGCTCGTGTCATTCAGAACTGGACATGCTGAGTGCAGCTGGGGAGGACAGAACCCTTCCCCCATCCTTGAGCCTCCCAGGCTGGGTTTGGGTAGAACAGAGAGTTCAGACCCAGCACGTCCAGGCCTTCCTCGCTCTGCCCTCTGGCAGACGCTCCCAATTCCTGCCCAGCTACATTGGAGCTACTTGGCCACAGTGCTCCCTTTCCCAGCTTGTGGCTTTGGGCTGGCTGTCCTCTGAGCCTGGGTGTCCTCTGGGCCTGGCCACCCTCTGAAGCTGGGGTGTCATGCGGGCCTGGCTGTCCTGTCCTCCTGGCCTGGCTGTCCTGTCCTCCTGGCCTGGCTGTCCTCTGAAGCTGGGGTGACGTCCGGGTCTGGCTGTCCTCTGGGCATGAGGTGTTCATTTTTTGTGCCTTCCCCTCTGAGAGGACCTTCCATCTACTCTCTCTGTGCTGGGTTATTTCCGCGTGGTCCTCCATTAGACCGTGAGCTCCTGGAGGGCAGTCCCCGGGCCCGTCTTTGTGTGCCCACGGCTGCCAGTCACAACAAGGGTTCTCTGCCTATCACTTTGTCTCTTTTTTCTGTCCTCCCTTCTCCTTGAGGACAGGAAGACCTCAGTCTGAATCCTACCCGACACACACACACTAGCTGTGTGACCCTACACAAGCCTCCTAACCCTTTCTCAGCTTTACTGTCCTCATCTATAAAATGGGGGTGTATTTCACCCTCACTTCATGCTATTATTTATAGCACGGGCAGGAAGGTGATAAGAAGATCCGCTGTTATCAGATTCATACAAGATGACTTGCACACACACAGAAACAGAGACACACACAGACACACACACGCCCCACACCCCACTGTGCTAACCTAGGAACAGCACCTGCAGCCAGTGTGTGCCTGGCCTGTACTTGGTAGGTGTGAGGCAGGTCCACGGTGCCTTTCTCTGAGCTCCCTTGTCTCCTTGACTTGACGGCTGGTTGTCTTTGCTACCAAGGGAAGTTATTACCAACGGA